TATAATTTATTTACAACAATTAATAAATTTATCTTATTACTTTTCACGTAAGAAAGTATTCTTACAATTTAATTCTAATTTAATTTAAATTAATTAAATATATAAAGTTATTAATACTACTTGAAATAATTATTTTAATAACTAATTTAATAAAATATAAAAATATAATTGTTTAATAAAAATATAATAAAATATTATTTAATAAAATAAAAATAATAAAATTATATTTATAATAATATTACTAATTTAATTAGTATAATAATAAATATAAAATAATTGAATAAAAAATATAAGAATAAAAAATAAAATTAAAAAATAATATTGTGATTTTTGAAAAAAATATATAATAAAAATAAAATAATTATAATAGTTATTATTTTGAATTATAATATATAATACTTAAAAACTAAAAATATATAATTAGTTTTATTTTAAAATTCAAATTTTATAATATTATTTTAAGTTTATTATTTAATAAATTAATTTGTAAACTTAAACAAAAATTCAATAAATTAAAAAAATATTAAGTTCTATATTAATTTTTATTAAAATTATTTATTATTTAATTTGTAAGATAAAAAAATAAATATATTATAAAAATAAATAATTTCAAAATAAAAATAAAAAAGAAATTTAATATTATCAAAATATAATAATAATTAATTATAACAAAAATTTTTTTATTTTGTTCTTTTTACAAAAAAAATTATAGTTTTAACAAATAAAGAATATCAAAAATAAATAATAAAAACTTTTTCAATTTGTTTTTATATTAAAAAAAATTATTTGTTTTATATTAAAATTAATCAAAATAAATATATTTTAAAATTATTATTGATATATAAACTTTAAAATATATAATTAAATATTTTGAAATTCTACTTATAAAATTGCTTTTATATATTAACAAAAAATATTCTTGCAAAATTTTGCTTTAAATTAATCTTATCTTTGCTTTATTTCAAATTCTAATTCAAATTAATAAAATTTTTATTTTTTTTATAATATTAAATATTATTGATATGATTTATAATTTTTAATTAATAATATTTTAAAATATATTAAAATAAAAGTAAAATCTTTATTACTTTCACTATAATTACTACAAGATCCATAATTCTTCTTATTCTTATTCACATAATTATCATTATACATTTATTTAATTTAAATTTATAAATTATCAAATAAATTTATTTTATTCAAAAAAATTTTTTAAACAAAGTGAAATTTTAAATAATTTATAATTTAGTTATTATATATATATTATTAATTATTTTAATTTTATTATATATATAATTAATATAATAATTAATAATATAATTTAATTTAATTAATTAAAGGTAACTTGATTTAATTTAATTAATCAAAAATAATATAATGCAACTTGACTGATTAATACAAGTTATATTTTTTATTTAATTATTATAAATTGACTTAATTACAAATTGATAATTTCTTTTTTGTATTATTTTTGTATAATATGTTAGTATTAGAAATTTTAATTTAATAATTATGTGATTTTGTTTTAATTTTCTAAAAAATTAAATATATTTGTACAAGTCATATATTAATTATGTAATATATATTAAATTTTGATGAAATTATAATTGAATTGTTATTATAATAATGCTAATAATTAAATTAGATCACATGATAAAAATCACATGATTTGTTTCAACTTTGGAACTAATTATATAAAAAATATCTAATCATAAATACTTATAACTTTTTATATAAAACTTTTTTTTAAAAATTTGACTGGTAATTTAATAGAGCTTATCTCAAAGAACAATATTACTGGTTTAGTTTTTCTAAATTCCATTTCTGTAAAGTGTCGAAAGATTTTAAAAATGATTCATTATATCGATATTGTTAAGATTTCTAGTTTTCGTGCACTGTACGCATCCGATTTTTCACAATTATATAATACCACATGCAGTATGTGGCTTGTGGCTTGTATTTCCAAATTCTCTAAATTTGGATTTTGGTTTGGACAATTTCTTCATTACATAATGCATCATATTGTTACACGTTCACATGCGAATAATATCATTGTGATGAAATGCAAGTTTAATTGTTATAAAAGTCGAAATGGCTTATGTCTGAGAATAATGAAACATGATCGATCTTTGAGGTAGGGAGGTAAGATAAAATCATCCTGTCTTTTCCTTTTATTTATTTGCGTTGCATTAAAAAAAAATTTGACACAATACTAATAAATAATACGATAACGATAAGAATAATACGAGATAAATAAAGAAATAATGTGATACCCATATAAGTAATAAATTGATCGCCGAATACCTCCATTTTACTACAAATAGTATTAAATAAGAGAAAATCAAGTCTGTGCGTTATATCATACATATACGCTGCCATTCGTGCCTTTGATAATGATGAACGCGTGAAAAGTTAAAATTAAAATTAATATTACTAGCCCGAAGTCGACAAACTGATTTTTTTAGTTACGAGAGAAATTTTTTTTACAATATAATATAAAAAATTCATCCAGCCCTTGTACATGCAAGAAATTCATGTTAATTTTGACAGCTATATAGCACAAAACAATCAACAAACACACACAAGAAGCAAGGACCAACACTTTTCGCACGTGAAAAATAAACAATTCCTGATTGCGGTTTTTTGACAGGTCTTATTGTTGTTCATCACCATAATTGTAGCTGATTTTATTATTATCATTTGTCATTATTTCGATTTTCGTAGAGAAAATAAAGATTAGAGAGTGAAAATTTTGCGTACGAATGACGAGTATGTATATGTGTTTTTGCATTACGCGCGCACACGAGAGATTAACTTTTTTTAATTGGTATAAATTATACTGATTATTGATGTCGTAAAATTTAAGTTTTTATTGCTGCTGCCTGGCCTGTTCCAGAATAATAATATCACTATACAAAAAGTACAAAAAGAGATTTTTCTTCGCTAAAAAGAATCGCTATTATCTGATCGGTTCCTTTTCTTTCTCGTATTCTATTTAAACAACCCAAAGAAATAGTTTGTGTGCGTCTTACTATCAATAATAAATAATTTAGTCCTTGCTTCCAAACGATATGGAACATCAATTCGCTACCGAAATTCACACTTTAGCACGAAAGTATTATCGCATACTCTGTCTACAAGGTGAAAAAGAGAATAAATATTTTTCTTAACCCTTTTACTCTATTAATCATTTTCATCCAATTTCATGACCTTTACGATTCTAGCCGACAAATATCTTTCATATGTAGGTCGCTCACTAGAACCATACGCAACACAAAACGCAATCCTCAGATTATTAAAACCAACACTAACTGACACCACAACCCTGCATTTAACACACACTGGCAGCAAAAAAGTATGCCCAATTTCAAAATTACTCACCGCCCGTGGCGAGCTGTACGTAGCATACGTAGGGCACCTACATAAAGAATTGGCAAAAGCGATTCGGTTCTACTCGTACTATCGTCATGACAACGATCAGGTCAGTGTGGCGCTCGCGATTGCAAAACGAAAAAAGACGAGTATATTTAGTTGGTGTGGTAGTAGGAATAGTGATAATGAGGAAGCGAGACACGCTTTGGACTTGGCGGATTTGATGACGGCGAATTGGTCGCCTCAGAAAATTGAGTTGAATCACGTGGATCCGTTTAAAGAGTATTTGCGTGTCGAGTTTGATAAAGAGAATGGCAAGTTTCTGGAGGTGTTTGTTGAAATGGGTAAATTCATTCTCTCTTTCTATATATAGTCATTTTCTGTACTACGACACGGACTTACATTTTTATATAATAATATGTAGCCGAGGAACAATCAATATTCAACAACTCGGAGCCGACATTCGAAGACGTGATAACACTCTGGATTGCCGTTCTAATTTGGGCATTTCAATTTATCTCCACCAGTATCATACATCGTCGAATAGCATCACGAATTACAGCACGAATTACCGGTGTTTTAATACAATAAATTGTCGAACCCATTTACTTTTTTTTGGTTTTCTTAAAAATGTGAAACTTGAAATATGTTATATAAATTAGTATACGTGTAAGTAGTGTATAAATATGTAAATTTTTACAGGGGAAGATAAAAGAACAATAACAAAACACCAAGAAATACTAAAAAATATCGGAAAGGATAAATAGTATTGATTACAATTCCATCGTCCTCACCGACACAATTAAAAAAAGAACAATTTAACTAATTCTTTGTACCAAAAATTAATATACAACAATAAAATGATACAATGATAAATAATGTATAGCTGCTGCTATTGATTATTACTACTAATAACGGTGGTTTCAACTGTTGTCGTTGTGGTACTAGTTCCTGAAGTAGTACCATTAGTGCTGATAACTTTAGGAGGCAAAATACCAAGAATCGGGTACAATTGTGCACGGGTCTCTTTTAAATTCGGAATCGGGTCATCCCTATTTTTTTTTGTATTTATTAATAAATTCAAAGGAAACAAAAACATAAAACAGAAGAAACAAACCAATTAGTATTTGCCAAAATATCCTCAACTTGTACCCACGAATTGTTCTCATTAGACTCCCCTTCCTCGTCATCTTTCATTTCAACATCTTCCTCGCCGACCGATTCGGATGTTAATGTCAAGTATAATTGGTCGGCTGTTGTTCGACGAATCTATAAATTATATATTAGTTTTGTAGTTTTGTTAATTCAGATAAAATTTAGGTTTTTTATTCGGATTCGGAGGTTCCGTGGCGAGTGAGTCCAATAAAACGAAATAAACTAACCATTGGAAAAGGATGCACCAAAAACCCTAATAGCTGATATAAAGCTTTATTTCGATACGGTGCGCCAAGTGTGACGAATCCACAGAAACTAAAAAAAAAAAACAAATAATTCGTTTCAATAAACCCCCATTTACGAAAAACCTGGATGACAACAACAACAGTGATATAGCTATCACCAAACAACTTACACCTTCACACAGGCCGAAATTTTGCGTACATCACGAGACTTTGCGCATTCTTTTTGCGTACGATCGAATAGCTCTTGAAAACTGCATAAAAATAACCAAATAAATTAAAACCAATTAATTATAGAGGAAAACAGAGAGATTATGTACCTGAATCCACCTCCTCCTTGCTGTTCGCTGTTATTACTACCACCAGCAACACCAAGAAGTTTCTGCAATTTCCCCGTCTCAAACAGAAGATCCGTCGCCTCCAACAGCGGCAACATCACGCGATCTTGTCGCTCGTGCACACGATAAATCTCTATTAACGAATTCGCAAAATCGAGTAGCGTAATACTAGTTGATATCGCTGTTGATGTTGCTGATGGAGGTGAAAGTGGAAGTGAGTCCACGTACTCGATTAACGTGCTACTTGAATATCGTATCTAAGTTAATTACAACAAAGGTAAGTTTTTTTTTGTTATTTAACACTTTTATCCTACGACAAATTCCTTGTTAACAAGACTTACCAATGATTCGGTCATTCCACCGGCTGCTAATATTAACCCGGTAAGCAATTCGAATCGATAATCTTTTAATCCGAGTAGCTTTACCATGCGCGAATATAAATCTTGAGGATTAGCCCAATGGATTTCCTCATCTCTAATGTGATTTCAATAAAAAATTTGACAATTTAAAATACAAAATTGAAAATATGACCAAATTCATTAGTCGACAGCAAACCTTGGCAAAACCCTTTGTAGAAAATCTCGTCCCGGCATATTCAACAACCAATCACCTTCACTAACACTACTATTTTCTCTCTTCTCATACAACAATCCAACCAAAACTTTTCCAGCACAAGTACGTATTCGGTCAATTCTTTCAACACTTTGTTTCAACAGACACGCAAAAACACGTCTCGTTAATTCATCGGTCCACCAATGTTCATCATTATTAGTTCCTTGTATATCCAATTTCACGATAAATGGTATAAGCGAAGCCAATCCCAAAATAGAAGCTTCGCGAATCCATGACCCGACATCACCACGTGAATCCGTACTGTAATCTTCAAAGCCGGTGAAAAATGCTTCGATAAATTTTGTGAATATTTGTTTATTTGCAACTATTCAAAAAAAAAATGGAAATCAAAAATTAAGCAATTAAGATTGTAGATATTTCAAAAAAGTGCATTAAAGGTGGGTTTAAATTACCTTTTTTAAACGAAGATCCTAATTTTTTTGGAATATTCGTCAATGATATAATGGCATTTCTTCTGGTTTCTGCATCGTTCCACGGTTTTGTCTCCTATTATCATATTAAACATCAAAAATCGGTCTGTATGATTTGTAAAAAAGACAAAACAATATTTGTATAGCATCTACCTGTATTGTCGATGTTAAAATCAATGAATCAATAACCCGCTCCAAATGTTCAGGAATTTTCGGGAAATCGAGGACACCGAGGGCCAGAGTGTATCCCCGGCGACGATACCGATTCTTTGACGGATGAGCATTATTGATATATGTGTAAAACAGCAAGAACAACAAATCAAGGAAAATATATACATATTTCACAATCTTTCCAAAAAAAATATTATTGAAGAGGTTGAAATTAAAAGTGAGCAAAAAAAGATATATATCAATCTCATCCAACGTAATTCCATACTGTTCAACAAGAGCTTCAACAGCTCTCACAGCAATCTTTTGTCCAACTTCGTCTTTACGCCCGAGTAAATCATGCACCACATTTTTCCAACCAACCAGAACTTCGTTGGTCACGGGCCACGTAGCACGCGCTAAACATGCTACGTAGTGCGCGGTTGCTTGACATATGATTTCTGAGCCAAAGTCAACGAATGCATTTGCTGTAACTGAATTGGTGACGGTGGCAATTTCCTAATATATAATGAAATAAATAGCGATTTTTGTTTATTTTTTTGAGATTAGACCAGTGCTAATAGTTGTATAATTTTGAAGAGAAAAACAAATGCTTGCCTCTATCAAATGGTGATGCTTCTCCATCCAACTACGATCACTGGTACCTTCAATTTGCGACCAAGCAAGACTAATTTCTCCAATAGACATTAAAGCGCCGTGTATTGTTTGTAGATCTCCGGTCTTCACTTGGGAAATCTTGGGTTTTTGCAAATATAGTGTCACAATTAACATTTTTAAAATTAAAATTAAAATAAAATAAAATAAAATACGAGAAACTGAACATAATAAATTACCAAACGCGGCAAAATAGTGTTCACCATATACTCGACATCCAGTCTTGTTAAATTATGCAAAGCCTGCGCGCACAACTCTCGCATCTGTTTGTCCCAGTTGACAACGGTGATTGTGCTCAGGTGGTCGATGAGATATTTACGGTATTCTGGGAAACTATATTTGTTATATGAATAAAATTTAACAAAAACATCAAGTTAATCTCTCTCTCATCCACTCTTTTTTAACATTTAGTTTACTATTATTGAATAATTTCTTATATTACTTTGCTATCTTCACGCTAATCTCCAAAAAAGCATTTGTACGATTCCCGACGGTAAAATAATCCGCGGTAGTAATAATATCGATCCCATGTGGAAAAATGCCCTATTTTTGCATGTATATATATGCGCACAATATATATCATTTTTATCAAAATAACAAATACAACAATGATATTGATCTTGAAAGTTCTTACTTGTCTTCCAACATTTTCCTGAAACGCAGCACTACTTGCACGTCTCACATTCACTTCACGATCGAACACCGACACCACCACCAAGCTGTTCGCTAATTCAGCAACATATGGCGCGAGAACTTCGGGTGCATAAGCACGCGCGAACGACCAACACACGTAACATGCTGCGTCTCGCACGTGTGAGCCAATCGAATATGAGCCGCGTTTTAGATCAAATTTGAGTGCCTAGAAATAGTTTTTATTTGATAGATTTAATTATTATTTATGAAATTTGTAAAAAGACGAGAGAATATATATATATATACCTTTGAAACCCACGTGATAACCTCATTCAACCGCTTCGGCAACAATAATCCTCGTCTAGCCAACTCTGCGACCGCAAGGCACGCCCCATGCCACGTATAATCCGAAACGGCTGACATGTCAATGACACCGCCACTACGTACAAACGTGTTCTCCGAGAATAGTTCCAATAGAGATCCGATAACGTCGTCAGCTAATTCTTGAGATAGACGCTGAGCAATTCGACCGATTCCTTTTGCGGCCGACCAACGAACTATTGTGTCCTGAAAATTTTTTAAGTAAGTAGAAGTTCAAAAATGGAAACTGAAAATTTACGTTGGAAAATTTACCCTGTCACGCAATCCATTCAACAAGATTTCTATAATCTCTTCAATCTGTTCAGGTACCTCTTCCTCCTCTTCTGCTTCTTCGCTCTCGAATCCACCACGTCCAATTGTCTGATTGATGTTTGACGGGTCAATGGATTTCGAAGTGATTATCGCAGAAGAGGATGAGGTGACAGCCAAATTTTCTCTTAGAGATCTATTTCCTAAATAACAAACATGTAAATAAATACATAATATTATTTATGCATGCATCCATCCAATATTCACCAACTCGTTCAGATTTAATTGTGCTTAAAATAAAACCTCATGTATTACAAAAATCACCAAACCAATACCTCGTTTATATCGCCAACTAGCGACTTTCGGTCTCAAAAAGCACAATCCAAATCTCTGCGCCAATTTCACCAAAAGTTTTCGCACAAGCATGTTATTCGCAAAATTCTTGTTAGATTCGATTAGTGAGAGACATGGCCACGCGATTGAGACTGTAGGCAGGAGGGTGGATCGTTGACCTAGTTTGTATATTGCGCAAAGTGAATCGAGAATGCCGATTACCTGTTTTTATATTAATTATTTGTGTTTAGGAATACTTTAGTATTATTAAGTTTATTTCGTTGTATGAATTAAGCAAATCATGTAACATTGTATAACAACATACGTACGATAAACACATTTTCGTTTCTTTTTGCTTCTTCGGTCGCCCATTCGACGTAATCTGTGAGGTACGCGGCAGCAATATCGCGTCTTTTTTACGAATCGCATTTAAAAAAGAAACATGATTTAGGGCATTATCACAACATATAATTATCAAAGACAAGGGACAACACAGAATAAGACAACAAGTTCAACGAAAGAAACAAACCAATAAGATCCGACGTAATCCAAAATAACAATATTTTTATTAGAATGTTTTGAGCAAAATAAATTAACACAATTTCAACTTGAAAATAGAATAAAGATAATAAGCTGATGATTTCACACCTGGTCAACAACCGGGAGAGAAGTACCGCTGCGCCATCCCTCTCTTTACCAGTCACGTTCAGGTAGAATTTTGAAAGGCTAATTATGTGATCGACGAGCGGGATCTATGCGCATTTTTTGATAATACGCGGCGCATGTATATACAAATTAAAAAATTATATTTTTTTTTCATATTTGTATTACAACCCACACTCCATTTTGAATACCCTATACGCATTTACATATACATGTATGTATAGCAATCTTCACCTTATCATCATCTTTGTCCAAAGCGCGACTGTCCACTGTCCTCAGATCAAACGGAATCATACAAATCAACGACAACCAAATCAACAACACATAACGAGTTTCCCATGCATCATAATCTCGTGGATTGATTGCAACCAGGAAGTAGAAAGTGGGCTCTAAATCTGATACCTCGTGCGTAAAAAATTTCACTTAAAAAATATCATAAATTAGGACTGATCTGTGACAATGTCAGTAACAACATATACAAACACGCTTACATACATACCAATAGTCTTATATCCGCGTATTTTCATAGTATAGTACAATAATCGAAACAATCTTTTCATGGTTTTTGTCACGTGAAGCGATGATGATCCGGGTGTCTCTGATTCCTGATTCTCTGTGAGATTACTATTATTACTAGTAATACCAAGAGGTGCAGCTTTACTAAGAATAGCACCCTGAATGTTAACTTCTTTTATATATGTACGCAAGAGTTCGATTATTGGTTTAACCATATTCTCCAGATGCGGATCAAGCAAGAACGGTTGTTCTTGATATGGATCAATCTATTATAATAGAATCAGATAATTTCGACAAAGATTCTCTTTAATATTCAATTGATAATTATTAGGTATCGCTGTTGCTGATTTCTCTAACATGAAAATCTTTTGTATTGAATAACTACATACGAGACCTATAAGTTTCTTCAAAATCCTATCTTCGCCAACTTCATTATTATCATGCTCTCCTTGTTCTTGTGGTTGTTCTTCTTTAGTAGCAGTAGCACGCTCTAGTAATACTTTAAGATTTGCGAAAAACTCGTTAGCCTGTTCAAAATGCGACGCACTTTTCACGCAAGAATCATCCTCAAATGCGTTCTGGTTCGTTTGTGAAAGTTCTATTGCTTCTCGTTCTTGGTCCCAGTGATCTGACACCATAATAATGTTTTTGTTCGAGGAATTTTTATTTGACGAATGTAACATACAATGGTAATGTCTTGTATCACCTGATACAGTTGGGACACTAATTTTGAAATTTGATATGCAGGCACGAGTCACGTGAAGCCAATAAAAATCCAGCATGTGGAATATACATATAATGTGAATCATCTTTGTTCTCTATATTAAGGATATTGAATAGTATATTGATATTACATAATACACTACATAGACTGTGGGGCTAAGCGTTCAATGTTCTCGCTTTCAACGCTAGTAATAATTAATCTGATTTGCAAAAATAAAATTTCATAATTTGTGACTATATATTAAGCAAGACAAATCTAAAATCCGGTTGCAGTAATCTCATTAACAGTAAGGTTTTCTTTATCGTTATTATAACCTTTTTGGAAAGGTAGATGGCTTATGGTGTACAAGAATTCTATCTAAATATAAATAATAACGATAATAACAATAATAACAATAAACAATCCATCCATAGCCGTAATTGAATCTCTTTATGCGCTGTTCTTCTAATTAAGAAATGGCTCAAGAAAAAATTTTCAAGAAATGCTCTAAATTTTCGCTTATAGTAACAATAATAGCATTGTTACTTTTATTCACGACACCAAAAGGCTCATTAGCGGACTTAACCCTGAAAAATATTATAATCTATGACCCAGTGAGAACCGACAAACAACTAAACATCACGTATTTTGTATATAATGACCTCGCAGGACAATTCACCATACAGAATCTTGCAATAACATTAGTACCGCTGAAAGCATCATTTTCGAGTAATATATCAGTAAATCCACAGGCCTCGCTACTCGGCCCAAATCGTGAAAATGCTACTCAGACAGAAATTTTTAACCTGACAAAAGAAATTTATGATGGTACATGGTCTTTGATGTTTACCGAAAAGTATTCGATCACAAGTAGTGGTCAGACAAGCATAGAATCGCAGGGTATGAATATCACTTTTCCACCTTACCCAACTTCGACAACTTCGTACCCTGGGAACGGACCGATTACTTATATTTCGACGATATCTTCGGCATCATATCAAACAATTACAACTACAAATGCAGCCGGACAAACATATTTGATTACGGGTTATGTGCCGCCCATAATTCAGACGGTTATTGTCACACCAAATCCTACCGTCAAAGCAACTTATATTTATTCTTCAAGTGCACAGGTGGGTTTGGTGATGAATGATAGTGGATATGAGTGGTGGTCAAGCAAAATTTATTCGCTGGGTATTTATTTTTTGATGACGAGTTTTATCGGCTATCTTTTTCCGTGATGATTTTAATTAATTGACGAGAATGTGACTTAGACATTGGGAAATGATATAATATTATCATCAGAATGCTGGATTTTTCTTTCTATCTTCCTTAATTTTTTTATACATATCTTAATTTAATAAAAAAATGTTCTGTCAAGAACAGCCAACGCCCTCGCCGACAGGAACCGAACCAATTACTTATATTTCGACGATATCTCCGGCATCATCTAAGATACTGACTACTACAAACGCAGCTGGAGAAACTTATTTGATTACAAGTTCTGTGCCGCCCATAATCCAAACGGTTATTGTTACACCAATACCTACCAGTAAATCAACTTATAATCCGTCTTCAAGTGCAAAAACGCGTTTGATGATGAGTAATAATGAATATGAGTGGTGGTCAAACAAGATTTATTTGATGGGTATTCACTTTTTTAATTACCAGCTATTTTCTATGATTTGAATCAACTGATGTGAATCAAACATTGGGTTATCCGGATTTTCAATGCTGGATTTTTATCCATATATTATCTATCTAACTTTATACATATTTTCATTTATCTCCAATAATTATCAAGTCATTAATGTATTGTTAAATCGGTATTTTTCCTTATCTGTATTATTTGGGTGGGTCAGGTTATTTTTGGGGGTTTAATAAAGAAAAAAAGACATTAGAGTTCATGAGGTTGTGATTTCTCGGTGTATAAGGGTAAAATTATAAAAGATCTGAAATTTAAAATAATACAACGTCAAAATATAAAATGTCGTCGTAAAAGAGAATGAATGGATTTAGGTAATATTTTATTCGTAATTTCGCATTAATACATAGAAAGATCTCTGTCTATGTAGATCAAATCTATTTCTAGTATGGTGATTAATGTGATTAAATTAACAATTGATAGTAATTTCCTAATCAAATTTAGTATAAAACCCAAGCTACTTCAAATTAAGAGAGAGAGCTCTTAATTTTTATTGGATAATTGGAATTAATAATTTTTCCGCACAAAGCCCTCTAATTTTAAATTTAATTTAACGTGCGTTTAGTACGTGTGTGCACACGGGTGCATCTATGTAATGAGCATAAATTTGATCAACCCGGCACAAAAAATAAAAAAATGCGAAAAATACAGGAAAACAAATGCCAAAATCTGGTCTGGAGCACTAATAAAAAATATCGGGATGACAATTTTATATACAACCTGGATGGATCACCATCCTTAACCGTAACCTTAATCTTAAAACCATTCTTTAACATTAATCTTTATTACAGTATGCTATTGGTGTGGATATATCACACATTGTGCGCACCCTAAATTATATAATCAAAGCAGTAAATGATTAAGCAGTGATCGTTATTGATTGAATATGTTAATGATTCAGCGATTGAGTAAGAGAAAGATACAAGCTTTGAAAGACGAGCTTTATAAGAAGAGCTATTATCTTGTATATTTGGTATATTTTTTACATCTTATACCCAAGGCCATGCTACATATTTCTCAAATTAATAGGATGATTATGACTTGATCCGAATAATTATATGACGGTCCCGAATACCTTCACCAAGTTCGAAGTAAACAGTTTGTCGCCCTTCGAAAAAATGACGATTAAAATTCAAGTTGTCAGTCATGGAATATCGAACAGAGTAATGTTTCCTTTCTAGACTCTTGACTGACTAGTTTCGAAGTTTCGAAACACTAATTAAATTAGTTTCGGAGAGTTAATTAATCGTGGTTGAATAGACTTTTATCACCTTTGGTTCTAAGCACAAATGTAAATTTTCATGTATAACTGATAAGCACTGAAACCCAACAATGTACTTTTGAAACTAGAGAAATATTATTTGTATGCAATGTAAATTACCATCTTATTTAATAATTCACAACTGTATTAAACCCAAACGAGCTACAGTTTCACAACTATTTATTTTTCAATTACTATTACCATTTATTCAATTATCATGATTAACGTTAACAGGCATTCGTTGCTCATTCCTAATCAGAATAGCCATAAATGGTATATATATATATATATATATAACGATAACTGTTCTGCATCTCAAAAATCTGTAAATATATCTGATATCGATAACGAAATCCATTTTTTACACACTTGAAATTGCTAAAGAATTTATTTTGATATGTTTGAAGCTGCAGTTTTTTTTTTTTTTTTTACAAAAATACACTCACACAAAGAGAAATCTAAAACTCGATGAATAAAAAAGCTTTTGATGTTCTACACGATAATTAAATACTTTTATAAAATGGTTAGTAGATATATGTATATATATAGGGAGAGAGGAAATGATGTATATAAAATGTGGTTTTTGATTTTAGTAATAAAGCTTAAATTATCATAGTCATACTCACTGTAATAATTACTTTTATTATTAATATTACGTAAAAGTAAAACTATTCAACTTTTATGGAGATCTCAGACGGAGTTTTACCCTCCCCGTGTTCTTCATCGTGCTGTGAAAGTAACGATCGAACCTCATCAATTTCGAGTTTGACAGCTGATTCGCCGGTAACTCCGGCCTCTTTACCAAATGGCACATTTTCCTTGCTAAATATCCAAACTTCAGCTTGGGGTGGTGCATGTGCAGTGATTAAGTTAAGTTCACGAGCAAGACGTCTAAAGAAAAAGAATATAAGGATTAATAAAATATTCATCGATCAATATATTTATGATTTTTATATTTTATCGCATATGCGTTATAGCGCCATGTCACCATTTACTAAGAGTATAGGTCCTAATTAAATCTGGGGTCCCGCGTTACAACGCCATAGCGCTATTTTATAAAACCCTATATTTATTATTATTATAATTAATAATACTCACTTGCAGAATTCATCCAAATCCAAATCATTTTCATCGATACCGAAAGGATTTTCAATTTCTCCGCCAATCCTCTCGATACCAAGCAACACACCAGTAGCGAAAAACACAAACGGAATTGTGAACCAATGTAACAACTGCACAAATTGAATTGGTATTGTAAGACAATAAACCCACACAGTTTGTGATAAATGTGTCGAATAAGCGATTGGAATAGGACTTCGAAGAATCCTTTCGAATGTCGTCAAACAATCAACCATGGTGTTGAGTGAGTTCAACATAGCAGTGGTAACCGGGGCTTCAGAATTCTTGTTATCCATTTGTGCTTTGATATATGAGCTGAGATAAAGCGAAATTTCTAATGGGATATTATGATTTTCTGGGACATATTCGCCCTTTTCTCGTTGATGTGGTTTCTTTTTGCTTTTTACCAACATATCGATTTTGCTTGCTGATTCTTCACTTGCGCGACGGAATTCTTCGGCCCTGTCTTGATCTTCGAGTGGTTCATAACCGGGAAGTTTTGATCGGATGTCGACGATAAGTGGTTGTAAGTCTGGTTGTTTTGAGCCTTCTTGTTCACGTAAATAGTATTTTGTTCCAATAGCGAATCCTAATAATAAATTGATAGCAGTTTTCTTTTGTACTACATCTGAGCTATCGGTTTCTTTTAAGTTGACCCAGATAAGACGTGTGAATGTGCGGATTGCGACTTCCATAGTAGACCACGCTCGACGACCTTCCCAATATCTTTGAAAATCATTATTGATTAAATATTATTTATTTGTTATTACTTATTATTTGTTAATAGTTATCTCCTTACCTATCATAAGCGGTATTAGTTCTATAGGTCAAAAGCAAACCCACAACAAACCCAAGAACCGGAATAAAAGCTTGTGGAATACTCGGTTTCAAATCCGTTTTTTCATAGATAACTGTTATAATGGTACCCACAACCGTACAAAGAAGCGCCGACGGAAGTATTTTAGGGACGACGGTACCCGTCCATCTAAATGCCATAGGACGGTTGTGTCCTTGAGGCTTATAAATTTTGGGTTTTTTCGGTATGACCATTTGTCCTTTGTTCTGTGCTTTGGTCATTTTTGTTTATTTTTTTGTTTGATATTAACGTTTCGTGTTTTTTTTCTCTCCTGGAGTAAAAAGTCGTAACAATACAATCAATTATATGTACGTAATAAATTATACAAGAAAATTGGAAAAAAATAAGTTAAGAGGCTAAGACCGAGATTTTATACGTTCGACAGCAGTTTCTAACTACAATGCATACATGTATCTATTCATTAAACGCGTCACGATAATCGTGTAACGGTAATAATTAATAACGATAACCGATAAATTAATGGTAACGGTAACAGTAAATAAATAAATAGTGTAACCAGTTGGTTATTTTGGGACATGTTTTTTATCCTTGCTACTATTATAGCTGCGGCCAATAATCAGCTCGATAAATTGTTTAATGGTAAAAACAATGCACGTACTTCCGTGTTTGAAGAAAAGAATGTTTGTATAGCAGAAGCTTTTGATTCCCACACACTCTAAATATTTTAGGAGATTCGGTCTATTGATGCTTTCTCAATAAAAAATAAATGATACTGAATCGATGCTTTCTCAATAAAAAATAAATGATACCGAATTGATGCTTTCTCAATAAAGAATAAATGATACTGATTAATTTGCTGCACAGTGGAGAGAAAAAAATTAATGTATTGCTTGTCATTGATTGCGTGAATTAATCTTTGTTGGTTAAATTTCTTTGATTCTTCAACGAGCTAGACCCCAAGAATCTAGTATATAGACGTGAAATGGATACACACACAATACTTGCTTACATATGTACACAATATATTGATATGCGGATGCATAAATTGCAAGGTTTTTATAGCGAACAACAAAAAGCACCCTGTACATGTGTAGATGTATGTTGGTCTTTATAAGTTTAATTCAATGACCTATTGTTGATTATGCAATATCCGAAATACGTATAAAGGAAATAAGCATTGAAAAAGAAAAATTGAGCATGGACGACATTACTAAAAAAAGGATAACGCGGTCTCGCAACTTATAGACAATAAAGACAAATCATTATAGATAATAAAGACAAATTATTATCGTTATAGACAATAAAGACGAATCATTATCGTTATAGTTTCTTATTATGTTTCAAATTGATACACAAAGTAAAATATAACTGAAAATCGTAGGTATATCGAGAGAAAAAAAATACATAATGTTTCTTGATATCATTGATAAAGTTAATGCGACTTGGTATTATCTATTATCTTTTTACGTTGGTGTCGAATTTTGCTATGATTGGAAATCGTAAGTAGTCTTTCGTTCGTAACGAGTAAAATCTCGATAAACGAAAATATAATATGCACCTAATGAACGTATTATCCAAACTCGATTTGAAAATGAATAATAATATGCGCCTAATGAACGCATTATCCAACCTCGATTTGAAATGAATAAGAAAAATATCGATATATATCATTTTTTATTGTTTCGTTAAGACGCATTTGGAAGCCTCAATTTGAAAATGAATAAGAAAAATCATTGTTATTTTCTCGTTAAGACGCATTTGGAAGATTGTGACATCACGCACGTGCCCGTGCAAATTCACTCCATTCTCTTTCTCTAACATTAGCACTAATTGAAAAAATTTGAATCATGTCAACTAATAGTGATCAGAGTGCAAAGGGGTAATTTAAAGAAACAAAAAAGATACCTCACGTAGCTTTTTACTGATAATTTATATACAATAAAATGAATTATCGCTTTTAATATTGTAATAGCAATGTTAATAAACAAGTGCCAAAAAAACAGACTAATAAACAAAAGCAGACTAAAAAAGTCGAGGGTATGTTTGCATTAGCTTATTTTTGCTGTCATTATCCATCTTTACACAGTTTCTTGTGTCGCAAAAATATGAATTCTGAATGATCGGATACATGTATGATTTTCGATATAGCTGCAATTGAAGGCGCCGCACAGATTGGCATTGAAGTGCGAAAGGAGGCAGATTTCTCGACGTGGTATCAACAGGTGTTTAAATGAATCCGATTCTTTGTAATTGTGATCGCAAATATATAAGTTTTTTTTAATAAATATTTAGGTCTTGACACGTTCAGAAATGTTAGACTATTATGATGTTTCTGGATGTTACATTATTAGACCGTTGGCATATAATATCTGGCAAGAAGTTCAAAGTGAGTGTCGATATATAATGATGATCTAAATAATTTTCGATATTTATATATTTAATTATTCAATTATGGCAAATTAGTTTATGTTGACTCATAAATAATCTAAAGTTTGTTATTTTACCCTAAATACGTAAACAGATTATTTCGATGCAGCAATCAAAGAACTTGGTGTAGAAGACACTTACTTCCCCATGTTTGTCTCACAACGGGTACTAGAAAAAGAAAAAGCACATATTGAAGGATTCGCACCAGAAGTCGCATGGGTCACAAAAGCGTATGTTTTGTTCCGGATTATCTGTGTCAAATAAAATATCAATATAAAAAAATATATTAACAACTTAAAAAATAAAGTGGATCTTCCGATCTGGAAGAACCAATTGCGATAAGGCCTACCTCGGAAACTGTCATGTACCCATACTTTGCCAAGTGGATTAGGAGTCATCGTGATTTGCCATTGAAATTGAATCAATGGTGTAATGTGGTTCGATGGGAATTCAAGAATCCTCGTAAGTTATTTGATTTCTATCAAGGAACTGATCATTCATACATATATATAAGTAATTCCGGTAAATTCAATATATATTTTTCACAACGATAGAACCTTTTCTTCGAACTCGTGAATTTCTGTGGCAAGAAGGCCACACAGCACACTTCTCAAAAGAAGAAGCAGACACAGAAGTACTTCAAATCCTCGAATTATATCGTCAAGTATACGAAGATTTACTAGCAGTCCCGGTAATAAGAGGGATAAAATCCGAAAAGGAAAAATTCGCCGGTGGTCTCTACACGACCACAATCGAAGGTTTCATCCCGACCACCGGCCGAGGAATTCAAGCGGCCACCTCTCACTGTCTCGGACAAAACTTTTCAAAAATGTTTGATATTACGATAGAAGACCCGAACGCGCCTGCCGCTTCTAATGCCGCGAAAATGCACGTCTGGCAAAACTCTTGGGGATTGACCACTCGTACTATTGGGGTTATGGTTATGATTCATGGTGATGATAAGGGTTTGGTGATTCCACCGCGTGTTGCGTCCACGCAGGTTATTGTTATTCCGCTTGGTTTGACTGCAAAGACCACTGAGGAGGAACGAAAAAAAGTCGAGAATAAAGTTAATGAAGTGGTGGGAGAGTTGAAGTCTATTGGGGTTAGGGCAAAGGCTGATCTGCGGGACAACTATACCCCGGGATATAAATTTAATCATTGGGAATTGAGAGTTCGTCAATATTTCTTTATTTATTTTCATTGTTTGGATATTTAATAATTATTACGACGCTTTTCTTGCTCCTCGTTTTTTAAGGGAGTCCCCTTACGCCTGGAAATTGGACCGCGAGATCTCACCAATCAACAAACACTATCAGTAAGGCGTGACAACGGGGTCAAAGAGCCTATTCCACTCGTCGATCTAAAAACACGTGTTCCGAAAATGCTTGACCTTATTCAGAAAGAAATGTTTGAGCGTGCCAAAAAAGTGTACGATGAACACGTGAAAATAGTGCTGAAATGGGAAGATTTCGTGCCAGTTTTGGATAATAAGAACTTTGTTCTTACTCCTTGGTGCGAGGAAGAGAAATGTGAGGATGCGATCAAGGAACGAAGTGCTAGAACGTATGTTATTTTTCGATTTCATATTTTTATTGTTGACATCTTTGCTAATTGAATTCAATATAATCAAATCCTTTTTGTTAATGTGAATAAATATTTTATTATTACAGAAATACAGAACAAGAGCCTCAAGATGAAAAAGCGCCATCCATGGGCGCAAAATCATTGTGCATTCCTTTCGATCAACCAAAAGAGCCTGCACTGGTTCCAGGCGAAACAAAATGTGTAAATTGTGGTCAAGACGCTAAGCGCTATGGGTTATTTGGAAGGAGTTATTAGTTAATTTATCGATAATAATCTTATATAAACTAGTTCTTTCTTTAATAGTTAATATGCTAATAAAAGAAAATTGTGTATAAGCATCTAATAATTGAATAAAGTCATCATTGTTTTTTTAACAACATTCATTGTTTGCATTGATTAGACGATCGTTTGCAATATAAATCACATGATGTCGAATCAATAACATGACGATCCAGAATAATATGATTTGTTGAGGAGTTACTTTGCTTGAGGTTCTATTTTCAATTCCCATAATACAAGGTCTCGAGTGTAGAAGATATCACCTTCCACTACTATGACTATTACTACTAATTTATTACTTTTTTTTTCGTGAGCTACTACTGAGAAACTAACCTAAGTAAAGAATAAACATCTGTATTATTTTTCCTGTCTTGCGTTCCTTGCCAATACAAGTATACAGTCTTTTGGTTTTGTTTGGAGTAGAACGCGCTCCTCTGCTAAATAATAAAATAGTATACAAACCATCATTTATCAAAAATGAATCTAAGTGGAAAGGGCAGTAATGAACTTTTGTTCGTTAATTTTAATCAGGATTTTAGGTAAATATATTTGATGGCGTTCACAAGTATTTTCTTGCAAAATTCGCACCGTTTTATTCTAAAAGCGTATTAATGAATTTTCATTAATCTTCTTCTTCCTTAAAATCCAAATAAATAGTTGCATCTCGGTTGGCACTCAACATGGCTACAAAATTTATAATTGTGATCCTTTTGGAAAGTGCTACGCAAAATGTTAGTACTTTTTTCACAGAGTTTTAGGGGATTGGAGGTAGTGGAGGAGAGGATTAACGAACTTATTAACTTCAACCTCCTGAATGATTCTATATAAAAGCTGATGGTGGCATAGGAATTGTCGAGATGCTTTTTTGCACCTCGCTTGTAGCATTGGTTGGAGCCGGAGAACAGCCTGCTTTCTCACCGAGACGTCTGCAAATTACTAATACCAAAGTAAAATATTTAAATCTAAAATTCATCTTTTTGTGAAACTAAATATTAATTTATATAATAAACAGCGACAATCTACGATATGTGAACTTACTTTTGCAACCTCAATTCTTGCCGTAAAATTAAATCGACGACGGTTGATTGTCGTGTTGGAACCAACAATATTTGTCTATGACATTAGTAACATGAAATTACTGCACACTATCGAAACGAGTCCTAATCCACGAGGTATTTCTTTTTTGCGTGAACTTTTAAAAATTTCATAACCTGACAGCATTATTCAAAATAATAATAATGAGCTTATCACATCTACTATTATTACATATAGCTATTTGTGCGCTCTCTCCTACGAATGATAATTGTTATATAGCATATCCCTCACCTACCCCCTCACCAACCTCACCTTTTTCAAACAGTACACAAAACGCGGCTCCTTCTGGTGACGTGTACGTTTTTGATGCTGTTCAACTGCAGCCGGTCAATGTTATACAGGCGCACAAGAGTCCAGTATCTTATGTGGCGATTAGCTTTGATGGTTTGAAACTAGCCACAGCTAGTGATAAGGTATATAAATATATTGTTATGTTTTCAATCTTGAAGTTTATTTATTTATTTGTTTTTGATTTTTTTTAGGGAACTGTAATTCGAGTATTTTCACTTCCGAATGGTCAAAAATTATATCAGTTCCGAAGAGGATCATACCCGACCCGCATTCACTGTGTTTCTTTTAACACTGTTGGCTCGTTATTATGTGTATCTAGTGACAACGACACTGTACATATTTTCAAGCTGTCTGGAAATACTCATAATGGCCCGCCACCCGGTGGCGCGAATGCTGGTGGCGCGAATAATGGAGCCGCGAATGGTGGTACTGCTGGAGGTTCGTTGAATCGCCATTCTACAGGAGCGGCACCGATTGGTGGGTTCGAAGCGTTTATGGACAACAAGAAAAAAACTGGGCCTGGAGCTGTTGGGTATGTTAGATTTATCAATAGTATTTTTCCTATGTTTATTTATAAAGATTACAATTAATTTTATCTTTAAATTTGGAATTGGGATAAAGTAGCAATATACGTCGTCAGTCTTACCATATTGGTCGGACTGTTGCTGGTAGTGTCGGTAATTACCTTCCAGATGCACTTACGGAGATTTGGGAGCCTGCACGAGATTTCGCGTACCTCAAGTTACCTAGTTCTGGTGTGCAAAGCGTGGTAGCCTTTAACAAGTAAGTTAACTCAATTTATCATTCAGTAATACATCCATATATATATATATGATATTTCTGTATATGTACACACACATTGTGTGTGTGTGTGTGTGTGGAATTTGTTCTCTTTGGAACCACTCTACTTTTTTAAATCCATCATATTCGACATGCTAATCAAAGATTTTGTCATAGCACCATACCTCAACTCTTGGTAGTCACTTCGGAAGGTTATTTCTACCAGTACAACATTGATCTCGACAATGGCGGAGAATGTACTTTGCTTAAGCAATATAGGTACGTTTGGATTGTTTAATTGAAATATTGAAAACTTGAATATTAATTTATTCTTTTCACAAAAGCTTATTGGAGACAACCGAAGATGTTGCCAGCCCATTACCGGAGAAATAATTGTTTGACTGCTGCTCATCGGAAGATGATTTGGAATTGATTGCAGTTGCTGGACATACATTATAATTAATCATAATTATTATGATGATGCTTATTTAAGAAATGCTAAATAAGTGATATATATGCTCGAGGATCATAGATTGTTTTCTTTTTATCGATATTTACTTATAAAAAACATTACTAGTGATAATTCATCTATTTTTTTTTTCTTTTTTTTTTTGTAAATTATTGGTAAGCGAGGAAATCAACAAATTTTGGAGAGTATTGTACGCTAGAATTTGATTTGAATTGTAAATTCTGTTTTAATTCTATAATGCCTTCAAAAATTTTAATTAATAATAATCAGGCTAACCAACCGGCCAACCAAAAAGTTCTATATATGATACCATGCAGTTATCGTTATTAACGATCGGAAATATAATGCTCATTTTAAAAGAAATCAAGAACTTTTCGATAGGATTTTTGAGTATAATGTTTAGAGTTGTTACTTTAATTTTATAATGCAGGCCAAATTCCAACTCGCAACAGTGAGTGGGTTTTCGATAAATCAAATTTATGTATTTATGGTGATACAAATATGATCGTTCATTTTATATGTTATTCTCGAAGAATTTAAATGGTAACTCTAATAATAGTCTCTAAAATTTCGAAAATAAATCTATGTTTTGATTTTTTTAGTTTAAGCATTATAATTTATTTAATCTTGCTATTTTTTGGAAAATTTGTATGAAAAATTATTTTTTTTATAATTATAAATAAAATATTACTCGAAAGTACGATATCCTTTTTCACATTCTGAAACAAGAAATTGATCAACTAGATAGCATTTAACGTATGGTTATGCTTATGACTATACGAAACGATAAGTTTTCTTTATTACGACTATATCGATATAAAACAAATGTCAAAATTATCAAAAAAAACGACATTGTATAAAACTGAGAAATCTCGTTAAAACGGGAAAGTATGTAAATACCATGTCAAAACGTAAATATGTAAAAACTATGTTAAAATGCTGAAACCAATGTACTAATTTCTGATCGTTTCACACTGCTTACAGTACCCGGGGTTTTAATCAAGACACCTACAAAAAGTATGACAAACGCGAAATTTAAATTGTTTCTCAAAAAATCCAATATGGTTTTTGATTTTTAATATGATTAAAAATGCCACGAGGAAACTTCAAAATATCATCCTATTTTTTTTTGTTCAATTGTGATGCATTTTCTGGGTGACGTTCAACATCCCGACAACCACAATCCCGACAATACGAAATCCCGAATGAACAGCATACCGAAAAGACGAAATCCGAATGAACAGCATACGAAATCCAGAAAGGACAGCATACCGAATGAACAATATACCGAATGCACAGCACGAAATCACGCATTTACTAATCTCCCAGATTTCTGATTGGTTGAGGATATTAAAGGTTAATTTTAGCGTTGGGGTTGGTGTTAGGTTTAGAGTTGAGGATAAGGTTATATGTAAAATTGCCTCTTCGACATTTTTGATTAGCGCTTCAAGCCAAATTTAAGCATTCGTTTTCCGTATATTTCACATTATTCGCATTTTTAATTTTCTTGTGTCGGATTTGTTTTGCCAGTCTGATCAAAAATTTATGCATTTTTATTAATCAGCGATAGAAATTACTTGCATCCAATCAGAAACCTGGGGTGAATTAGTAAATGCGCTAAAGCTTGAAAAACCGATTTTAAATCACCCAAAAGATCTCCTTTAATGGTTAATTGCTTTTTCATTTTGGCTAAATAAAACGAACGAGCTGGATTTTTGGTCGTGATTTCGTGCTTTTGGTATGCTGTTCATTCGGGATTTCGTTTGTCGGGTTTATGGCTTGAGGGATTATGGTTTTCAGGATGTCGTACCAGATCCGTTCTGTACCTTTTCCGTATATATAAAAAATGGAAGTATTTGAATCCTGCAAAACGTATGTTTTCAATTCCAGATGTTTACTGGACACAAGTGAGCCTGAATCGATGAATACCACATGATATCAAACGATTTTGACATGATTTTCGGATAACTATTTTTCATGTTGGGCCGGGGGGGGGGGGAATACTGTAAGCGGTGTGATACAGTAATTAAACCATTATGAGATGTTAGTTTTACAATTATTTATCATGCCACTTGAACTGCCACTCATGCTATTCCTTATAGGGATAGCTGCATGGAAAAAAAATTAGATTAAGCAATAACGATAACGATAATAAGTATGAGAAACGCGTTGATTTTAATATCTCAAAATTAAATTGTTACCTTTTTAATATTAGTTTAATAGATATTCGCAAAATGTAACGGTAACAATAACGATAACGATAAAAAAAAGCAAACTTATTTCCTAATTAAGCCATCGTGAGATGTTAGTTTTACATTATTTATCGTTATAATAAGTATGAAAAATGTCAAGATTGAATGAAATGAAGTTTCGGATGATGTAATAATCGATGCGAGAAACTATTATTGGTTTTAAAAAAATAAATCGATAAGAGAATCAAATAATAAGTAAATACATGATCTGAAACAGGTAAGCAAAGTTATAAAAAGAGAGAATATAAGTAGTACGCGAAAATACTTATTAGATATTTCTTATATCGCTATAGCAAAATGGAAACTGACTCATTTTCTCCTATCAGTACACATGATTATAACAATAAAGAATCTGAAGGTCCATCTCATGAAATAAATATGACAGATAATCAAAGTATTACGAAGGTGACGAATAAAGGAGGCTGACCATTTGTGATCTTTTTGTACAAGGGGTGGGAACAAAAGGTCACTATGAAGCACAATGTCGAAATTGTCCAAAGAAATATCAACGTGCTGAGTCATTAATAATGGCGAATCATATAGCACTTCATTGTCCTGGTGTAAGTAAAGAAATTTCTCGCTTTTACATTCAACAATGTGCTGAGTGTAATGTAGTTCAAGGTGAAGAATCAGTCTTCAAGTTCCAAAAAACATAAAAATAATAATCAACCAAGAATCAACAAATCATTCAAATCTTTAAATCTTTCATCTGATCGCCAAATCAATATTACTCAAGCATTGTTCAAGTTTTTCATATGTTGTGGAATTCCATGAAAAATCCTTTTTTTAATGATTTCTTGTTTCTTATGTAACCTGGTTATTATCCATCTGGATATATTATTCTTGCCAGACAATTATTGGATGAAAAGTGATATGAATATCTATAAAAGTCAATGAACATCTTGAACATTCTAACAATTTAACTCCAATGATCAACTTCAATAAATGATTCTATTTCAATTTTATAGTATTATACCAGATCACAAAGAATACTTGTATATATGAAAAACTTATCAAAAATATCACAAACTGAATTAATTATTGCAAACAAAATCTTAATAATTATAAAAAAAATTGAACTTTACAAATTTGCTGCAGTGATGATTAACAATGCTGATAATATTCACGTATCTTGTAAAATAACAAATCACAATTATCCTTATATTCGATGTATTATATATGGAATTAATTTGCTTTCTCAAAATATTTGTTGTCATTTCTTTATTAAAAATCTTAAAAATACTGGATTTGTATTGAGTTATTTTAAAAAATCTTATCAATCTAGTTGAATTTTGCATGATTTGGTGAATGTACTAAAATTATATTAAAATATAGAGAACAATCTTTAATATGGCAAATTTCTTTCTTTGACTTCAACTTTGTTTTAATCAAATTATCTTATATTATTTTGAAGTTATTTTAACCAAGAAATTTTTAGATTGATTTAAAATGAAATATTCTTTTATAATTTATAAAGAATATTAATTATTTTTAAGTCAATCAAAGTTATATATATAGTTTCATTATAAAATCATAATATAATAATAAATATATATAATTTTATTATTAGATGAATTTATTGTTGATTTATTATATATTTTTAATTGTTATTGATTATTCTTGAGATTCTAAAGACTATAAAATCTATTTTTTATTAATTTTTTGATTAATTAATTAATTTTTTTTATTAGCTAAAATATATATTATATTTATAGATAAACTAAATATTCAATAAAATTATAAATTGAATTAAATTTTGAATCAAAATTTGAATCAAAATTTGAATTAAAATTTGAATTAAAATTTGAATTAAAATTTGAATTAAAATTTGAACTAAAATTCAAATAAATATTTAAATTTCAAACACTAATTATTAATATAATTATTTAATAATATAATACAAAAATATTATTTAATTAAATTTATAATATAAATTAACTAATAAAATAAGAACTAAATATTCATATTATAATAATATAAGCAAATTCAATAAGTATTATATTAAATTTGATAAAAATCTTTATATATTTACATATTTACTTTATTTAAAATACAAAAATAATATATATTTTAATTAATATTTTTTTTTATTTAACAAAATATATTAATTAAATTATTTTATTAAAATATGATTTAAAATTCCATTTATTTTATGAGCTTTGTATATTGATTATCAATTATTGAAAAAAAATTATGATCATGTAAAATTAAAAGCTTTCAATTTTATATTTCAAATAAAAATATTATGAAATAATGATTCATCTTAAATTTTATATATATATATTTAATAATATTTCTAAAAGATGATGAAATATTGTAGGCAACAAAAATGTTTATTTAAATTAGTATTGTGAATACTTGTTATTTTACTATCACAAGCTTGTTATAAGCATAATTTTTTTTTAAATAATTTATACAAATCAATAATTATATCTTGATATAAAAAAAGTGAAAAATATATATATATATATATATTCTTTTTATGTTTTTAACATCAAACATGAACTTAAATTTTATGACAAGAATATTTTAAAACAAATTCTTCATAATATATATTTAAATAATACTATTTTTGCTAAATAAAAGAAGATGTTTTTTCTTCTTCTTCAACTTTAACTTTAGATAATTTATCAAATTTTTCAGAAACTTTAACATTAATTATTGAAAATAATATTGATAATTTCTAGTAAAGATTTTAATGCATCTGATTTAGATATTAATATGAAAGTGTATAACAAATTATCAGAAAATATTGAAAATCTTGATTATGATTCTTCATATTTAGTTAATACAATTTTAGATAATCATTAATATATTAATATTAGTTTTTATAAATAAATTTTACTTATTTACATCAGTCATTCATATGAAAGTCTTCCCATGAATCGCAACCAGCATTGTCACATTGCTATGTCCAGTAACCATATTGGACTTATAAAATTATTATATATGTCCAATGGTTTAGTGGCGCAGTATTGGATTATGTCCAGGACCAATTAACAACATATATAATCATTCATATTAGCATTAGATTTTCCGATTTATTGGTATATAAAATTTTGGGATTCTGATAGTTTAGCGTTAGATTAAAACAATCCCAAAGTTCTTGACCAATCGGTTAAGTCTGACTTTAACCGATTCATAGGTTGACAAGTTCAATTGTTGTGCTATATATAAATTCATATGAGATTCTGTCCTACCTGTTAATGCACGGAGATTGGCATTGTAATCTGGAACAAGAGTTGAATTTAGATCGCGTGTCTCTAAATAATGAAAAGATACAATAACGTAGTATAATTAAAAATACCCACAGATTTTGAATTTGATTCAACACTTGTTGTTGAAGGCTAGCTATTTGTTGAGACATTGTTGCTAGCGTACCTTGGATTGCAACAAGTTGGTTCGCGACATTTATGTTTGGAACAGTTGGTGCTAACGTCACTTGTTGCGAGAATGGTTGACATAATTGTGTAATTAGGTTGTTGTGTCTAGAAAGTAACAGGTGGTGAGTTTTAGAATTGTTTTTATTATTGTCAATCAATATTTACCATATTCGCTCGTCGTTGAGAGTATTGAAATCGTAACACAAAAATCAAAATAAATTAGCCAAAAAAGTGTTGATCACGTGATTCAGATCCCCTTACCAAGATCAACGTGTAACGCAAAAAATTGAAAAACAAACGCTACCCCGATCGATTGTTCCTTCACGTGATTTTTCCGATCTCGAAACGAATGTTTTTGATCAACTCGACAAAAAAATCCGCACAAGAAAATGAACAATGCAAAAATACGGAAAATAGATGCCTAAATCTAACTTGTAGCACTAATAAAAAATGACGGGAAGACAATTTTACATATAAACTTATTCCCTTTAATAGTGCGGAATGTTTTGTGGCTGAGAAAATCGGATCATAAAATCACTTGAAGGGAAAATCGATCGTGGATGAGCTGGAGAAAATTATAGATAAATGAGAAAATAAAGATTGATTTATTATAATATTCATTTTACATTTTCTTCCCTACTCCTCTATATATTAAATCTCTTCTAATTAACTTGGCGCATCCAAGTCACTATCATGGCATTGTTATATATGGTGCCGCCATTACAAATGGATCGTTGAACGTGTAACCTGTGAATGCACTATCAGTTGATTAGTACATTTAGACGTGATTCGTCGTATTGGCCCGAAAAAGATCACATGATTAATGTAGTGCTCCTCTTCAGATGATCGTGATTTTCTGCGACAATAAAACTTAAATTCTGCATGCACGATTATATAAATTCTGCAAAATTCTGCACATTAAAAATCAGTTTTTTTGCGATATTATAATACATCATATTTAATGATTTTAGTGATTCCTCAGAAAGACTTTGCCTTGTCGTATTGTCTTTCCAAAATTGATCGAGATCCAGAGAAATTAAAACTTTATTAATATCTAATTTCACAATAAATTGCCCATTCGTGTAATAATTCATCAGTAAGTATTGTAAGTTCATGAATATCTGAATAATTACGTATATTTCTTCTTTCCATTTCTCCAAGACGAATATAAGTTGGATCAAATACACGTGCAGCAGCAAATAAATTGTGACAAGGATGTAAAGATATATGATCGTTGAATTTTTTGAATGCATTATTGAAATACTGGTTAAATATATTTATGCATAATTTGCAACGTTAAAAATAAAATTCTGCATTTAGATTTTTTTTATGCATATTCTGCAAAATGCAGAAAATCATCGAAACTTTATTATATGATTTGCAGATGATAATTCGGGCTGGCTGGCACTATGATTAGCATAGTGCCGGCCTGAATCATAATAAATGCCAATCAATAAAATCACATTCATGTGATAAATTTGGACCGAGCATATAGAACTTATTTTAAATAAAATTACTGGTTTACTTTAAATTCCATTTTTGTAAAGCTCTGATAAATTTTTACCCTACGTTAGAAGATTCTTAAATGTAACAGAAGTGTAACACATCAATTTGTGCATCTGCTGCATTAAATCGAACAGGTGTAATAAGTGTAATACGGAATTTTTTAATCTGATAGTATTTAAGATAGTTCTCTCCACACTCACCTTAATATTTATTATAATTATCACTATTACTGGTATCCTAGCATAGCTTAGCATGGTCTTAAAGAAAAACACACACCCAGCATTGACTACCCGTCTTGGAAAGGCTGTATACCTGCTGATAGGCTGTGCTGTTTTCACCTTCTGTCTATACCTAACATCATATCACTCAAAATCCACAAAATCATCATGTCAAAATCTGACAGCACTACTCTCATCTGCTACCTCCCCTTCAAATCGTACAACCATACGCTCTTTAATATACCAAGACTTTGACCGAAAAGCCAATCGCAAAAACGCAACCGTACTCATTCTCACTCCGCTAAAAGATGCTACTCCAGTACTGCCAACCTATTTTGAAAATATCAAAAAACTGAACTATCCAAAAGAATTGTTGTCGTTTGGATTTCTGGTTAGTGATTCGGAGGATACAACGTTCGAGGATTTGGTCAATTACACAAGTCCAATGCTTAGTGAGTCGACGTATCGACGGGTTAATATACTTCAGAAAAATTTTGGATTCACATTGTCGCATGGTGATAGACATGCGTTGTCTAATCAGGCGCCGAGACGGTCTATAATGGCACAGTCTCGTAATTATTTGTTGTTTGGCGCGTTGATTGATGAAGATTGGGTGCTTTGGATGGATGTCGATTTAAAAGAATACCCGGATACTCTTATTGAGGATCTAATTGCATTTGATACGGATGTGGTTACCCCAAATGTGTTTGCACGGGAAAAGCATAATGGAGTTGATTATGTTTATGATAGAAATAATTTTATCGAGACACGAGAGTCAAAAAAAGTTCTTAAAGGATTAGATCCTGATGATGTATTAGTAGAAGGTATGTATGCTGTTATTATCGATGTGATTCGTTTAGTCGTTAAAATTAATCAAAGGATAAATGTATGTATTAATGTAATAATAATCAATCTTTGTTTAGGATACCCCGATCTTCCAACATATCGTCGGTACCTTGGTGACTTGAGAAACACAAATAAAGACATTGTAGCAGTCGATGGGGTAGGAGGTGCATGCCTGATGGTAAAAGCTAACGTTCATCGCGAAGGCGCTCTCTTTCCAACATTTCCCATCGACCATGAATTAGAAACAGAAGGGTTTGCTAAGATGGCAAAGAGAATGGGCAAACAAGTTTGCGGTTTACCGAATTACATTGTGTATCATCCTTAAAAGGGATTTTTAATTTATTCTCTTATTTAGTCTTTTTTATTTTATTTTATTTTATTTGTTTTATTTAATTATTAGTGTTTCTTATCTTTCTTCTTCTTTTTTTACACAAAAAGTACACGATAATGCCACCATCACCTCTGTTAAATAACATACACACATTCGCGTGCGGCTTTCCTTGGAATTTTTGCTATTCAAAACATCCGCAGCATTGAATTCATTCACATTATATTATACACACATATTCAAACTTATATATAACATAATAAATGAGTGTGTCGGATAATAACAACCATTGACAATGCAAAATTTATTATTTTAAGTCTAGTTTAATTAACTTCTATGAATAGATAGTAATATACAAGTTTTATTTTCTTTATTTGGTTTGATTAGAAGAAAGTAAAGAAAATATTTCATAAAATTAATGTTATAAATCTCGTATTTTTCAGCTATATTTGTTTCGTTTCAACAATCAAGACATACTATTTTTGCCTTGCACTACTTTTGATTATTTTCACTATCATTCAACTTCGAATCTTGAAGGACCAGCACTTTGATCTACAATCGGTTTGATCCAAAATATCAAATATTAAGAATGTCATGTCATCTCTTGGGAATTACTTGACGAAATGATTGTTAGAAAAATCGAGATATCTGAAAACATTATTTAGTTTTTGTTTCTTCATTTTGAACTGATCAAGTAACTGGAACTTTGACACTGTTGAGATCAATAGATCAACATGTTAATTTCTAAAACAGAAACAACATGTTATATGATGATCTCGGAAATTTATCTAGAGAATTTCAACTCAGCTTCTGTCTACTAATATTGACCGATCGTTGAAACCTCTGTACTCTATAGTATCACTCATTTAAACAATAGCCAAAGATGTTGTCAACAAGACGCTCAACTACAACTACAACTACCATCAACACACCAACAAAAGTCTTCAGCCAAGATCTGAAGACGACGTCACGCGTCAATAGTGGTGGAGAAAGTTCGTACACCACAAAAGTTTGGCGTATCATTAAAGATTTCACGAATTCCCGATACTTTGAAAAAAATCTTAAACCTGATTCACAGCAACTATTTAAAGAATTATTCACAGTAGTTGACTTTACGCGTTTCAGAGAAATATGGGAGGCTGACATTGATAAATTGTCGCAGGACAAGGTGAAAGCTCTTTGGGACATTCGGGCTGCTGTAAGTCATAGAATGTTGCCAGCAGAGTATCAGGACGATGAGTCCTCGGCGGACGAGTGGGAGTCATTGTTTGGAGTGCAGGTAATAACTAATAATTCACTATGTTAGTATAATTGATTGACATGTTCATTTTCGTGCGAGATTTGAAACTTTAATTGCATATTAACAATTCAAACTATCTGATTTTTGCATTTAGGCAAGTACACCAGTACAGCCGCAACATACAAATCCTCAACAACAAGGTGAATTGACTGCAACACAAGAGGAAGAGAATAAAGAAGAAAAAGACGAATTATCACCACTGGTTTGTTTGTTTTTATTACTATCAATAATTTTTATTATTAATTTATTGTTCTTGTGATTTTTCCTTAATAGCAAATTCTTGGGTCTGTATCTCCTAAAATGAAGGTAATATTCTTTTTTTTTTTTGATTTTTCGATCCGTATAATTTCTCTTTCAGTATTTAATGATTTATACGTTCATGATGTATAGTATCTTCTTGATGTGGTCCAAGAAAGAAGGACGGAAATCGATCTGGGTAATGATGAACTGAGTGATTTATTATTTGAATTGAGAGCGGTCGGCTCCAAGTGGGTTAGCATAAATCTTCATATTATCAATTACATGCATATCTAATTATTATTTATTTACCTTTGATTTCTCTCTTTCTCTCCTATAACAACAGGCGAATAATGAGCGGATGGGTCAAGCCGAATTGTATGAGGCGATGGATGCAGTGCTTACAGCATTGAAAAATTATACAGTATGAATTTCATATTAATTAATATCTTATCTGTAATAGATTAGTCATACTTGCAATGGTAATAAACGATTGGTTGGTGTATTTTTTTTTTACTTTAGGAACATTCAACACCTTTCCTTACGAAAGTGAGTAAACGTGAAGCACCCGACTACGCAAAAGGTGTTTTATTTGTTCTTGTATAATCAATTTTTGTTATTAAAGATCAAGTAAATAAATTCTCATCCTGTCTTCCTTATTTTATTTGCTAGTCATCGAAAAACCTATGGATTTAGGGACAATCGGAAAGAAGATGAAGAATCATCAGTATAATTCTAAACGAGAATTTGCTGATGATTTGTATCTGATATACTCGAATTGTCTCAAGTACAATACCAATCCGGTAAGTTATTTTCTTTTTTCTTTTCCATATGTGAGTTTTTTCGATTTTTGTGATTGACTTGACCAATGATTGATTCAAATTTTATTTTCACAGCACAATACTTTTCGAGAACACGCGAATGCAATGAAAGCTAAAACCGATGTACTATTGTGTAGTGTTCCCGATATAGTAGTTCGCGATCGTAGCGAAGCAGAGACTCAAGCAGCGCGTCATACGGAGGAAACCAAAAATAATGGGACAGAACGAAGTGCTGACGAGAGTAGTAGTAATCCTCCGACAACAGCGACAACAGATTATATTGTGCCAGGAAAAAGTGTGCATCTTTTCGCACGAAACGGTAGGTTAAAAAATTTAGAAATTACAGATTCTTTTTTGATTGACATGATGTTTTTTTTTATTAATTATTTTTTAAATACAGAGAATTTAATCGAAGAAGAAGACGACGATGAATTACAAGCTCTAGAAATTACCGAACAAGACGCAGAAGGAACGACCGATGATGAAATGGAGTATGACGATTATGAAGAAGAGGAGCTTATCAAGCAGTTCAAAATACAAAAAATGCCTGATATTTGGGATCCAGTTTGTGATAAAGAAACTCGTGCAAGGATGTTTGATGATAATTATGACGCAAGGTAACAATACTATTTTTTAGTACTCGATAATCTTTTTTATTATTTAACACCTTATATTTTTGGGAAATTTAGCGTCAGTCAACCCACTCTAGACGCTTATCAGTCTGCCCAGATCCCGTCACGAGGTACTGCTGCTTTGATTAATCGGAATATTAATCTACTAAAAAAAAACCGCGCAGTACATGCTAAACTTGGTATAATTAAACAAAGTCAGGTGAGAAAAAGGAAGTTCCCATTCTATTCTTGCAATTTTCATATTTATATCTATTTGCCAATTTTTTCAGCCTGGCCTTGTTAATCAATTCGGAGCCATGCTAAATCAAATTGATCCACCATCTCCCGCAGAACCATCATCGGATCTAAAGCCCGGATCATCTATTTCAACTGTACACGAAGAAGATTTGCCACCTCTAGTCATGACCAAAGAATTGGGTCATGCAAGTATGACTCGTGTCGTTACAAAGTTATTACAACACGCAGGATTTGAAGGTAAGAATTCTATTAATTGTCAATTTACAAATGTCACAAATCTTTGAACTAGAAGCTATTAATGGATCATCTTTTGAATTGATGATTACATTTTTTAGCTGCGCAATCGAGTGCACTACAAGTGTTGACAGATGTGGCGGAGGATTACTTTCTTAATCTTGGGAAGAGTATTCGAACATACCTCGACGACTACACGAAATCTATGACTCCGGAAGTAAGTTTGGGATTATCACACGTAATGAACTTGTATTTTTTTTTCAGTATGTATTATTGGGTGAATAAACTTTTTTATTGAATAGGAAATTATCCAACATAGTCTATTCGAAAATGGTGTGCCTGGCGTGAACACCCTCGAGTCATATGTCAAAGATGAGGTTGAGCGATATGGTACCAAATTGGCGGATATTCATCGGCGTCTAGAAACAACATATCAAGAATCATTAATGGTAAATTACTTTTTTTTTTACTAGTATGTTATGTTATATAAAATTCTTGCTTGATTGTTATTATCTAAATTTTAGCAATCGGGAGATGGTCAAGGTCGTGATCAGAAATCGATTTTCGATGATGAGGAAGCTTTTATAACGTAGTGAAAAAACCCTATTGATTATAATTTTGTATGGGTTTTTTAATATATACGCGTATTCAAAAAAAAATTATATTTTTTTTTTGATTGTAGTGGTGATTTTGGCGGTGAATTAATGGACGAGCTCGATATCTTTGGCTTTAAAGAAATGGGTCTAGGAAGTATGAAAGTACCTACCCATTTGTTGCGTCCAAAGAACAAGGGCGATATGCTAAAACCGGGACACGGGTAATTGTTATTATCATTATTATTTGATTTTTAATCCATAAAAAATGGGTTCATCTTATAATTTTATAATTGAATTGCGGATTAACAGTCATGGAAAAGAAGGTATATTTTTTGCTTCAATTAATTTTTAAAATTAAACTTATTGACGGCAATCTATTTTTCTTTCATATAGCATCACCATATCAAACGCCTCCTCCTTGGAAACCAATAACCGATGCAAGCACGTTGATAGGGCTCCTTCAACCATTCTTTGCTAAAAAACTGGAAGATTCAGGTGGTACCTTGATTGAGGTAAGAAATGAACATCATTCTAATTGATATACGCGTAAATTGTCTATCTCAATTTATCATTGCTATAATTTAGGACGAGTTGCTTCCTCCAAAGCAACGCGTACAACGACCCAAAGTCCCAATCACCGGAGTAATACCAAAACAGCCAAAAAACAAAAAACAAATCAAACAACCATCACAGGTCGAACTCGCGCTCAAAGAAGAGAAAAAACGAAAACGAGAGTTGGAAGCAGCGCAGCAGCAGCAAGAACGCGAAGAAAAAAAACGAGCAAAACAGGAAGATCGTGATAGAAAGGCGAGAGAGAGGTATGTTCGATTTACTGATGTTTTTTATTTTGTTTGATGATGTTTATACACATGTTTTTTAATAGAGAGCTCCAGAAACAACAAAAGCAGCGCGAAAAAGCTGCGGAAAGAGCGGAAAAAGCCGCCAAAAAAGCCGCTCAAGATAAGAAACTGAAAAAAAAAGCGACGGCTCAAGCAACAACACCAACACCAACAAAAGTTCCAGAAGTAGTAATTGTCCCTCGCGAGGAAGGCGTCGAGCAAGACACGGAAACTATCCCCCTTGCAAGGCGACTTAAAAATAAGAAACGTACTCGGGTGGATGATTCTGGCGAGGGATCATCCAACAAAAAGAAGTAGTCGTTTAAAAATTATATAATATCATGCTTAGTTAGTTGTTTGCGATTGATGGTGGTGGATTCAAGGAAATTGCATTCCGAAAGTGGCGAGTTATAGTTAATAATCAATCTCCGTTAATCGCGGTTAGGTTTCAATCAAGCGAGAAGGCAAAATTTATAAGTAATTCTACTGAACCCTTCACGCTTGCTCAGAACACCCGAAGAATACATATTACATCGATTGATATGTATTCTTGAATATTCAAAGAAATCTTTATTCCCTCCTTTTAATAGTTTACTCATGATTATTGTTTTTATAACCATCAATTATTTATTTAAAAGTCAATGTAGTCATTAATTTTTTTATAATTCTAATCCGATTTTGTACTATAAATAAATAAAACATGAAAAAAATGCCAAAATCCAATGAATTTATGAACTATTAAATAAATAAATAAATAAAAAACAAAGCGTTAAAAATGTCATATTCATTCGTTATAAAAACTACGACCCGAAAAACTCAAATTCCCATTCCGCCAACTTCTTTGCTTCCTCCTTTTTAATATTACACATTAAATGACCCATCAACAATTCCAGCCGTTGCTGAGCATCATTTTGTCGTTGTTGTTGCTGTTGCTGTTGTTGAGAAGGAGAATCTCTTTCTTCCCATCGTGATGGTGAGAATAACTTTTGCCAGTCCCATTCAGCTTCAGGACACGGTCTACGCGTGCTTTGATGTGTGCTTGATTGTGATACTAGTGAAATAAGATGGTCCAGTAGATAAATACATGCTTGGTGAAGATCATTGTGGTTGGTTTGAAATGTGGTGGTTGTCGCTGCGGCGGTATAATCAGAAGAGTGATAGACGTCATTCATTATATTAAATTGTTGAAATTCCTCGACTAAATTGCCACTCCCATTTTGATATGATGATGTGTTTCGATTAACTCCATTAATACCACTATCCTGACCATGGAATGAAGTTGAAAAATCATAAAAGAATTGATGCAGACCGTGATTCTTTATAAATACATCTGTCAAATGTTCATCACCCCATTCTTGTCGATATTCTTCATCTGAAATATTAACATTAATATTATTATCGTTATCCCACTTTTTGGAAAAGGACTCCCAAGCAGCAGCAGAAAAATGTTCTTGATGTTTTATTCGGAATTTGATATCTTCCTGGTGCTCTCTGTTGTTGGAGAGTGAAGAAGATATGTTTCTATTGCTAAAATGGACATTGACTAACTGCGAGACTGAGTTACTACTACTACCACCAAAGACTTCTTCGCAAGAAGAGTTTATTAATAGAGTTGACATTTTTTATTTTATTTTATTTTATTTTCTGAGAATTGGAATGAATTGGAATGAAGTTAAATGCGATAGATATTTATTTGAATCTAAGATCTCATTTTTTGTATCCAAAGATCTCATCCAAAATCTGTACCGCAAGAAAGCACAAGCCAATGTGCAGAACTGCATGCAAATAGGCTCACAATACTTTTGAGAAAAAGTAAATAATAAATAACGCGTCTTTGTGATCTTTCTTTTTCTGGAGGGCTGAACACGTCAAAATACCCTAATTTGTGAAACTATAGTCTTTACAGATTTTAATATTAGTACAAGAAGCAAGACAAGACAATTAAATAAATATATATATATATATATATATGGCTCCAAGAAAACGTAGCCGTCAACCAGAAAGTGAAAGCGAAGAGGACAAAGTGGTGGGTGGTGAAGAGCTGGTAAATTATTATTATTGAAATGACATTGCTTGTTTTTCTTCTGACATTATACACACATAATGGTTTATAACACGAGCTTTTTTTACATTACGTGCAAATATCTGGACATAATTATATTTTATTTTTGTTCATGATTAATAGCGACGTAGCACGCGCTCAAAACGTCTACATCGCATGGACGACGATGAAAATATTTGGGGAGAAGAGACTTCTGCCGCTGCTGCCGTCTCCGTCCTAGATAATGGCGAAGACAATGACGACGAAGAAGAAGAAGAAGAAGAAGACGATAATGATGATGATGATGATGAGGATTATGAAGACAATCTTGATGCTGCCGCCGAGTGGGAACAAAAACGAATGAAGAAACCCGGAAAGATTGGTGTAAGTAATTTATTTACAAGCTAGTACAAAAGCAATTTTTTACACTTATTGTTCACTTGATCGATTGCATATATATAATATTCAGTATTTCTCTTTAATTATTAATCTTCTTACTTATATTCGGATACATGAATAGGCAACTGCAGAGTCGGGAGTTTTAGATGCAATTGAGCTCGTGAATTTTATGTGTCACAAATATGCAAGAGTTAATTTCGGACCGAAAATTAATTTTATTATTGGGCATAATGGAAGTAAGTTATTTTTTTTGCTCTTTGTTCTAATTTTTCAACGGTAAATTCATTTCTCTCATATGTCATGGCGTTTTTTCTATATTGAGGCGGCAAGAGTGCTATATTAACAGGAATTACTGTTTGCCTCGGAGGAAAGGCTAACACGACAAATCGAGCCACAAACCTAAAATCATTGATTCGTGAGGGTGCAAGGCATGGTATTTTTCCATATATACATATATTTGCTTTTTTTTTATGCCACTATTATTACTACAACTCCCCACTATTCTTGGTAAAAAATACACAGTGCCGGTCAAATAACCGTAAAAATCCGTAACAGCGGCGACGAAGCATACCGTCATGATGTCTACGGTGACACAATAATAATCGAACGTCGTATAACGCGCGACGGCACAAACGGCTACAAAATCAAAAACTCTGAAGGCAAAACGATATCGACAAAACGGGAGGAATTGACTGCCATTTTGGATCATATGATGATACAGGTGGATAATCCAATGAATGTTTTGTCGCAGGATTCTGCAAGGCAGTTCTTGCATTCTTCGAGTCCTGAGGAAAAGTATAAGGTATGGTGAAGGATTGGATGTGACGTGTTTAGGAGGTTCAAATTTGGGCTGTGTGAACTGAGTTGATGGTTGGTTGATTGATTGTCAAATCTATCCTAGTTCTTTCATAAAGGTACACAATTGACACAACTAAGCGAAGACTATGAGCTGATACGAGACAGCATAAACACCTCACTACGAATAATAAAAAAGAAAAAAGAAATTCTTCCAGAGTTGCATCGTGCCGCTAAAGATGCTGAAGACCGATACAAAAACATGCAAAAGGCTCGTGAGCTCGAATTGAGTTTAGACAAACTAAAGAATGAGATGGCGTGGGCTCAAGTTGAAGAAGTAGAGCAAGTGAGTATGTTTTGTTTTTGTTGTCTATTGTACATTTATTTTGATAATTTACAAAATATTACTTTACGGCAAAAATACTCCTCTTTGACGATTGACAAATGTTATTTTATATACTTGTATAGGTCGTTCAAGAAGCGGAATATAAGCGAAATAATTCGGAGAGACGTGTTAATACCACTCGGACAAAATTTGATGAAGCAAATGTGGGTTGCATAAATTTTTTGATGAAATTATATAGGTTGTTGAAATATAAATATATTTTTTTTTCCGTCGTCAATTCAGCAAAGCTTGCAAGAGATCAGTCAAGAGGTAGCCGAAGTTAATGATGAGCTCAACGAACATGCACAACAAGCTAAACCTCTAAGTGATCGGAAAAAAGAAATACGAAAAATGATACAAGACAAGAAGGGTCAATTGCAAGATATTATGGTAAGTAATAAAACAGAATCTTTTTATGTCAGTATTTCGTTATCTATTGATTTACAATTAAAAAAATCCTACAGAACGAAGAAAAAGAAATAAACGAAACAATCATCCGGCTCCGCGAAACCGTCAACCAACACCATCAAAAAATCGAAGAAGAAACCCGAAAACTTGAACAACTCAACGGCGGTCAAAATCTCGAAGAAGCACGCGCAGAAATCGAAGAAAAAGAGAACGAAGTGAGCCAAATCAAGCAGAAACTGGACAGAAGTCGATCTGATGTACGGGAATCCGAGGAAGCGATAGCGCACGCACAACGGCAAAAAGATTTACTTGGAGAAAACCTTCGTCTTACTTCGGCGGAGATAGGACGTTCGAGACATTTCTTGCAGCAGTTGCACGAGAAAAGAGAAAATCGGTTAAAAGTGTTTGGGTATAATCTTCCGCAAGTAGTCGAAGCGATTAATCGTGAGACACGGTTTGTGCATAAACCTGTTGGACCACTCGGGATGTATGTACAGTTGCTTCGTCCAGAATGGGCTAAAGCAGTGGAATCTATTGTTGGAAGTACAATGGTTGCTTTCGCTGTGCAAAATCATGCTGATCGTAATTTGCTGAGTGAAATTATGAGGCGATATAATTGGTATATACTAAAGATTTTGTATGCTTTTCATATAAATCAAATTTAAATTTCAGGCTCATTCAATTATGTTGTCATCGTTGCTCTTTTTATACTCGTTAGTAAATCTCCGATCATTGTTGGTACTGATGATCCATTCGATTATACCGCAGGTGAACCTTCATCGCAGTTTCTCACTATCCTCCGAGTCTTACAGGTATATTTTTAACTATGTAAATCTGGTGTTTTCGTCTCTTAAAACAATTAATTACTGTGAAATCAATTTTTCCAATAGTTTGATTCTGAACAAGTCAAGCGCGTCTTCATCAACGACAAAAGTATTGAAAGTACTATTCTCTTAGAGAATAGAAGTGAAGCTGATGAAATTATGTATAATCATGGTAGAGGATATCCGCATGATATTTCCGCTTGTTACACTATCGATGGATATAAAATTGGGCATCGGTATGTATTATTATCCTTTAAATGGACATCTCTTTATAAAGACTCCTTTTAAATTTATATAATATTATATAGAGGCGGCGGGTATTCTACACAAGCAATGAGGATGTATAACGGTCCCTCGAGATTTACGACAGATATTGAAAGCGAAATTCGGTAAAATTCTATTTCTATCATCATGAGTCACATCAAAGGTTCAAAGTCATTACGGAAGTGTTATTACACTCACTACCTATCTATCAAACTATTCAATTTAAACTAAAAGTTATTGATAATTCCTATTTTGAACTTTACCACCAGTGAAGCACAAGCGAAATTAAATGAAGCAGCTAACACAAATGACCAATATAAGCAAGAAATGAACAGAGCTGAAGACGAGTATAAAAGATTGGTGAATAGGAAAGAATCCTTAAAGGTAAAAATATTATATATTTATTTTTTTGCATTTTGAGTAATAATATCCTAAATCATTCCCGAATTCATACATATATCCACACAGGCGGAGACTCGTGAATTATTCTATCGCGTGAACAGATTAGAAGGTCAAATTCAGCAAATGAGAGATCGCTTACAGGTTTATTGTTTTTTTTGTATATTTTGTCTTTTAAGTTCATAGTCATTTCCACGTTCGACTTAATTTTTCTTTTAGCAATATGAACCCGCAAATATTGCCGCTTTGGAAGAAGCTAAAAAGGTAATATCATATTTATACTGAAAAGAGCCTACATCAACTTCTAGTTACTAATTTTTTTAGTTATATTCTTAAAAAGGGAGCTGAAAACGAAATCGAAATGTACAAAAATCAATATACCCATATCGAAAACCAACGTAACAAAATAGACGAAGAACAACGTCCCTTAATGCTTGAATTCGAGTCCATTCATCGACGACTTGCAGAGTTAGCGACTGAACACGAAAGGATCAAAGTATATTATTATTATTATTTCTTTCTTACGCTTTTGTTTTATTAATATATTAATAATAATAAAAATGATAATAGATACGATTTGAAGAAAAAGTGACTCTTCGAATGGAAAGCGAGAATCGCAAGAATCACTGGGAATCAAAATTGACTAAAGAGCAAAAAGAACTTGATGCCTTTGAATCACAGTTAGCTAGACTGCATGAAAAATTAGAGGTATTATCAATTATTCTTGCTCCTATCTAATATTATCTGATATGCAGTCAAATTTGACAATCTGATCGTTTTTTTATAAACGAGTTTGATAATAATGTTTTTCGATTCTTTCATTTTGTTTATTTATTTAGGAAACAACAAGACAGGCTGAATCCTATTGCGCGGAGCGAGTTAAAGTAACGATGAAGCCGAATGCTCTGGATCGTAAAATTAGGAGCATTCAAACAAAATTACGTGAACGAGAAAAGGAGTATGTTATATTCTTTATTTCCTATTTTCATGTATATAAAATAATTAATTCATTGTTACGGGCATATCATAGACAAGGTGCAAGTTTGGAAGAAATCGCATCAGACTTGCAAGCCAAGCGAGACACATATAACCAAGCGCGTGCGGAAATAACAAACATGGATTCCTTTATCGAGGTTGGTTGACTTGGTTATTGACGAATTAAGAATTGATCAATTCTTTGTGTTTAATATTATCATTTTTATGATAGGAATTGAAATACTCTCTTAAGCTCCGTATGAGAAATTTAGCGGACTTTAGAACTTTTATCGCGATAAGAGCCAAACAGTGTTTTCAGTATCAGCTCTCCAAACGTGGGTATACAGGCAAATTGTTGTTTGATCATCTAGAACACAAGTTAAATCTTCGGGTGAATACATAAGTTTTTTTCACAACCGTACTACATATTAAATTGGTATATTCTTGGGTTAATAATTTTTTGATTATAAACACAAATAGGTTCAAGTAGATGATCAAACGGAAACCGCCACCGAAAAAGATCCAAAATCTCTTTCTGGGGGCGAAAAATCCTTTTCCACCATTTGTCTGTTGCTGGCTCTTTGGGAAGCTATGGGATGTCCGATACGATGGTAATTTTAAGACTTATTTATCGTATTGAATGTAAATAAATTCCAACGCGTTTTTCGTCTTTTTCATGACTTATAAATAAACTTGTATGTATTGTTTAGCCTTGATGAATTTGACGTGTTCATGGATGCGGTCAATCGTCGAATCTCGATGAAAATGATGGTATATATTATGCTTTTAATTGTTAGTTTATTTAATGCATTATTAAATTTTTTATTGTTAGATCGAAACTGCGCGAGAATCCGATTGCATTCAGTACATTCTAATCACTCCACAAGACGCGAGCAGCGTCTCCCCAGGTCCTGATGTTCGTGTTCACAGACTTCACGATCCAGAAAGAGGACAGGGAACATTAATCGCTCATAGTGACGATGATGAATAATTTTATAGGATTTTATTTTTTTGAGTTTTGGGTTGAATAATTAATAGTATGGAAAGAACTTTACTATTTAGATCATCATTATTAATGTGATAATTATTATAATAAAGCAACTACGACGCTTTTTATCGTTATTATTTTTGTTTAATATGCATATTAACTAATTATCTATTATTAAGATTATTATGTGGGGAATGAAGATAATCGGTTTTAGGATGGCTCGAAATGAAATAGAATGATGAAATGTAAAAGCAGGTAGAAAACAATAAAGAATATTGATTATTCGAAACATGAATAATGACGAATCCATCCATCCACGATCTGCTATCATTAAATACAAAAAACGCGTCAATTCATAAGAAAACGCGTCAATTCACGGAAAAGAAAACGCGTCAATAAAATAGTAAAAAAATGCCTGCCTACTTGACAATTTTCATGGTGATTTCTCTATGACTACCCATACACCTTGTTCTTTTTATCATATCATTCAGTTAGTAGTATTTTTTTATTCAAAATCAAATAAATAACACAATACAAGTTAATAAACTAGAAAGTCTGAAGGCTGTCTTACTTGTTATAGTTAATGTCATTGGCAACTTTCCATTATGTTGATAGTATTTCTCTACGTAATCTTTCATTCTATATTTATGTTCGAGTTATTTCTCAATTAATAAACACAGAAAAATAACATTATGTTATAAATACGAAAAAATACCTGTTGAAAGTGATCCATCTTACTAGTTTATTGTTCTTTGTGTAATCGTGATTCCATGGAATCGCTTCAAACCTAGAGAAGAAACAAACAAGAATCACGCAAAGTCATAATTAAAATTATTAGCATGTAAATAACCTAATATAAAGCTTGAAGCTGACGACGATTGATGAAGCATACCACTCTAATTTACCCATCGAATCGAAAAATCGATTTCGGAAAACACTGAGCTCTTGTATCGTCTTGAAGTTGACGCGAGAGTCAAGCAGTTTGTAAATTGTTGGTTTGTAGCAGTTGAAACACATTCGACCTATTTATTATTAGTTTCATAACAATAATATAATTAATGACTTATTTATTATCTGAAATATCAAACAAAAGCAGCATTCACTACTTACCACATCCGTTACGATCACGTGGGGGACAAGCTATCACATAAGGACTCGTATATCCACAAAGTATACACACGACTTTTTTGAACGATTGTGGCCTCGCGAGGATCAAGAACTGAGGAATCACGTACATTCCATCGTTGTCGGCGCAGTCATTGTTACCATCATCGTGCTCTTTATCTTTTTCATTATTATTGAGGTCACTATCATCTTTTTCCTTTAAAGTAGTATCCTTATTGATATTATTATTTTCCTCTTTTTCTGAACATTTGAAATTTGGTTTGATGTTATATCGGTGATTTAGCTGTTGCTTAATGTACTCGCGAAGCACATTCAATGTTGCTTTATTGAAATTCTTTGATAACAAACGAAAGTCCGTCAACCATGGAGAAGAGGCTGGATTCGGAAAAGCATACTGCACAATTATAGTCAGAATGTCAACGGGTAGTTTTTCGAATCCAGATGATGGTGTAGTCAATGATGCTATTACAAGCTTTTGCTTCTGTTCTTGTTGTTCCTTTGGTCTTTGTGTAAAAGTTGTTGATTGCATACCATCATTACTGCTATTACTATAACTATTATTACTATCAACATCATTATTATTGTAATTGTAGTTATTATCGAATTTATGTGGTGACGAATTGTAATAATATCTGTAGTTGTAGTTATTGTGATTATAATAATAATTATTTCTGAAACTGCTGCCTCTGGAACTTCGTCGCCAATTGCCATTCAAGCTTCTATTATGTCGTAATCCAGAAGGTGGTTTGTGTTTTGAGAAGTTATCGTTGAAATAACGATAATTACTACCAAATGGGACATTGCCACCACCATTGTAGTAATTTCGCGAGCTCGTATTATCAGTATTGATATAGTTGGCAGAACGATAATTCTCGTGGAATTGCGAGTATTCATATTCACAAGGCAACTCGATAAATCGTCGTTCAGGGTAAAAAGTGATTCGATCATACGGCGCCATCCAATAACTTCCATTCTTGTTAAGATTGTCGTTGTTTTCGGGTATAAAAGAACCATCGTTTCTGGTTTCTCCAGGTGAAGGAGGAAGTGACGTAGAAGACGGTGGTGGATAATACATCATGGCAGGTGACGAAAGAGGTAATGGCGTTGGAAAACCTCCATAGAATGGTGCTGGAAATGCTGGATTTGGGAGGTGCCAGTAATACGCCATGTCGTTATACCATTCCTGTCTTACGTGTCCGTAATTGTTGGTGTCATTGTTAATGTCATTACTACTTTTGTTGCTAATGTCATTGTTGTAATTGAGTTGTAAGTAATCACCCGTTTCGCCGGTACTATTATACCCGTTTGGAGTTTGTGGGGAGTACAGGTGCTCTTTTGACGCGTAAATGTAAGAGTTGTCTGTATAGGTCATTTGTTGATTTGTGAACAAATGAGAAATATAAGAGCTGCTAAAGGATGGTGAAGCGTCTCGAAAATTTTACGATCGATTTTTAATTTATGAATTTGTATTGTGATTGGTTGGATGGTCGATTAAATAATGTGACCTACCAAAAAGGTTAGTAAATTACGATTATCGATATATTTCACCGATTGTCAAGCATGATCCAAAATATGTATATATATACTGTGAATGATCAAATATAGAAAAAATGTGTATTTTATTTTTTGTGCATTTTATTTATGTGACATAAAAAGAGAAAACGGAAATATAAGAATATATGCTTTAATAATAATTATTATTATTTAAAATAAAAAAGAAGCCAATTCTAACTAAAACTAAAACTACCAACTAGCAGGTACTTGGAAAGAAACAGCTAATAGTAATAATAGCAATAATAGCAATGATAATGATGATGATGATGATGATGATGATCAATCGGTAGTAAAAGTAAACTATATTAAGTACTGGTAACAATCAATAATTCTCTATCGAAGAGATCTAATACTATTAATAAAAATACCTATCCTATCATTCATAAAGGTAACACGTGAATTAGAACTTTAACATCAACAATAGATTCACCACTACTAGCAAAGGACCAGATAGATAGACTAAGCTAAACTAAACTGGAGATAACAATAAAAAAAGAAACTAGAAAAAAATGTACATTATTTACAACTCGCGGCTTGTTGAACGACCTTTTACGATGCTTTCAAGGTTAATCCATTCTTACGCGAAGACCTTCTCCTCCTTAAAAGAGTAAAGGTAAGACATTATCTTCCAACTCATCGCCCACCCAATCGCTTTGTAATTCGTGCATTCTCGCCTCGACTTGACTTTGTTCCACAACATGTCGCACCATCGTATCGTAAAGCCAATCAAGGACAGATGCTTCTTTGGCGTCTTCAACTAATAAGTTATTATCAAGTAAAGATGATGATGACGATGCCTCGATATCATCATTTTCTTGCTCGATTCTCGAAATTAAGAATTTTTCTTCGTCCTGGTTCCGAATCATCGTCAAACTAGGTATGATGTCTGGTTCCATTTCACTGATAGTATTTATCGTAGATGATGATTCAACATGATTATTGTTGTTGCTATCATTATTATGCGGGAATAAACCAGCAATCAATTCATTTCGTGGTATTGTACAGAGAGCTTGTATGAATAAGGATGATAGTTGTTGTGCGAGTGTTGAGAATAATAAATAAGCTATCCACTTCATCTGTTCATGTTCACCGTCAAGCGTCATTGAAGGCGTGGATGATGGGTGATATCCAAAATAATTGGAATAATTCTGTGATTTATCCATAAACAGCTGTTTGTCAAGACTAAATTCCGGAATAAATGTCGTCTGGACTCTGACTCGTGAATCTTTCCATTTCTGCTGTGATTGAGATGGCGATGATGGTGTGTCCTTGTTGACATTCGGGATAACAAGAAGACGGTTATTATTTGAAGGTGACGATGAGGATGATGATCGATTGTTATTGCTAACATTATTATTAAGGAGGGCCAAGTTTACCCCATTGTTGACATCTTTTGATGTAAGATGAGGTGACGATGCAGCAAACGGTGTATTTGATGGTCTTTTCTGTTGTTTGCGTAGTTCTTTTACTTCACCTTGTAGTTTTGTGTTCTCATCTTGTAGATGGGCAAGAGCTTGTCTAAGTAGATTGATTTCTTCTTCTTGTTGTTGATTAGTAGACTCTAAGTTGGAGATATATTCTATATTTACACGTAAATGAGAAGGTTAATATTAAATCAATATGAATAGAAATAATTATATTGATAATTAATAGTGATAATGGTGATGGTGGTGATGAACAACAAAAGAATAATTATCACCTTTTCTTCGAACACGGAAATTTCTTGCAGAAATCTTATTACGAAGTTGTCTTCTTTCTTTCGATGTCAATTTTTTAAGATCGACATCGCTTCTTGTTTCTGTCAAAGTGCTGCTGTGGTGGTTACTAATATTGTGTGTAGGTGGTGGTGAGCTTGGCGATGCGATACTACTACCGCCACTATGTGAATTGGATCCAGTTTTAGAAATTTGTAATTCCGTAAGCGATTTTGAGGTTGATGACGGAGGATTTTGAGTAATTGATTTATTGTTATTATCATTTATCGACTCCTGTTTTATTAGAGGCAATTTGGCCAACAACTCGGCCAACTGTGCATTTAATACAGCCAAAGATGGTGCAACAGCAGCTGTATTAGTTATAGTTTGCTGCGTTGGTGTTTGTTGTGTAATTTCATGTATGTCGGCAAACGGTGAGACAGGAGTCAATGGTGTGGGTGTCGTCAACACATTTAGTTTTAAATCTTCAGGCGACATTGCTGGACTTGGCAACAACGCAAAGTCTTCGGTCACATCTTGCATAGGAGTCGGAAAAGAAGTAGCAGCAGTTTGTTGTTCAATTTCTACTACTGTTGCTGCTGCAGTGGTGGCCGCTGCTGAATTCGAAGAATCTTTAGCTAGTTCACCTTCCAAAAAATATCTAAACAAGTCAGAATTCGACATTGCGTCAATGTCGACTTCTTCTTCCATTGCATTGTTGTTTCTCAAGAAATCTAGGTCGAGAAATTCATCGAAGACATCATCGCCCCCGTATGGTTGAAGTTCTTGTGAATTCAGATTGTGTTGTGGTGAAGTCATTTTCCCTTGGATATTATAATAGTTAATATGTGGTGGTAATGGTGGTTTGCTATACCGAGTTTTTTCTATATGTCTTTGCTACACACAATCAAAAGTGTAGATGTGTGGTAGTGATAATGAAAAGGTTTTGCAGAGCAAAAATAATATTAACTATTACTATTATTACTATATATAGTTTTTCACACTTTCGACTTTTTCTTCTTTTACAAGACTGGTAGGTTTTAAGATGAGATAGAGAAATGGTTAAAAAAAAGGTCCGAGATTCTTATATATAATGAATGAATGAATGCACGGTCATGTGGTACAATATATGTAGGATGATGAAAGCCGATCAATGAGCCAATCAGATTTAGAACTCGTAATATATTGGCTATAGAACATTGTAGAAAATTGTTGTGAAGGCGCAGTTTTTTTGTTTCTTGAAGAAATAACGTTATTATATGCTTCGAAACAAATACATGCTATTTTTTTTCCAATGCCACATTGTTATGTTATAATTAGTATTAACCTATTAGCAGACAGATAAAATAGTAAAGAAGGCGTGTGAATTTCTTCATTATTATCACAACTTAAATAGTAGCCTTTTTGCAGCTGCTGTGTATTATAACGCAATAAATTAGCTTGGTACCTCTATTTTTATTTTTATTTTTATGTGTCCAATACAAATATGCCAGGTATATCATTAATGTCGATATATTTAATCGGATAATTTTAATCGACCAAAAATTTTGATGAATGAAACTTTCGAAACCGAAACCAGCGAGTCGGGTGAATCAATTCCGGATAACCAAATTAAGACATCAACAATGAACAAAGTTTTTAGTTGTTGCATTACAATCTATATTTTAAGAAATTTATATAATAGGGGACAGCATAAACCATCCTTATACTGCGCCAAATGGCCAATTTTCATAATATCGATATTAGAAAAAAAAATTAGCCAAATCAAAAAGTTACTATTTGGCTAAATGATTTTTTTTATATTATGTTATCAAAAAGTGGAGGTTCCTTACTATAATATATTACAAAGAACTAAGTTCACGTGATTTGATAACTGTCAACTTAGTAAATATATCACACTCTTAGAACAAAGAAAAAATGTGATTTTAGAGATTGTAGGTCAAATTATATAACTATATAACAAATGCAAAAATTTTTTTTTATAATTGCATTTAATTTTTCCAATGATATATAAAATTTAAATTTTTTAGCAATTAATATTAATATAATATTGCGTCGTGAATTAAAGCTCTATGAACTGGTTTCAGTTTTTCATGTTAAATTGTTTTATCACGAGAAAAAAATATAAATGCAATTTTTTATGCCAAGGACAATAGAAGATATTACAAAAAATTACAAAAATGAGAGAATAAAGATAATAACGGAATTCTTCCAAAAAGAACCGTGTAATTTATTTTTTTTAAATCATCAAATCCATATAGTGTGTCGACATACATATAGAGGCTGGATATGTAGCTTATATAAAATCGTGAGACAGATGATGTTGAGCATTGCGAGAAGGTCATAATTGTTGAACATAAATTCTCCCCCACGAAAATATTATTTTTAGAAACCAACAATTTTACAATCCCGTGCAGTCAAACAAAAAATTATTATTTTTCCCTTCTCAAAGTGGAGGGAAAATAATTTTGTTGGCTTAACGATTCGAGGGATAATCAATAACTGTGGTAGGTGCATTTATATAGTATAGGGGGTGATGGAATATGGCTGAACACCATTAACGATTCCTAGTCCTCCGGTGGGCATTAAAGAACTTTGACCAAAAGATGTCCTAATTAAGAAATCCCATAAAAAATCAATTAATATCTATAATAAAAATAATAACAAGATTTACCAACCTGCAAGTAGAACATTGAGGCATAATTTCACAAAAAACTGTGAATTAACGAAATAAAGAGTAAATAATTGATTATGATTCTCCGTACACTAAAATAAATTAATTTTATGATAGATACTTGAAAGACACACAGAGCACACATATCCAATATCAACAATTTTTTTATGACAGAAACAAGCAGCTCGAAAATCTACTTGATCTTGTCCCGGTAGACAGAGTGTTGTTCTTAAATACCGATCAGGCAAAAAGGTAAGCTGCAGATTAGGATAAAATCAGAAATAATTAGAATCCAAATGTCAAACAATTCACATATTTCAATAGATTACTGCTAACCATTAGATATTGCAAAAAGCCTTTTGGCTTCTCTAATTTCAGATATATTCCGTTAGTAATATGTGCCGCTTGTTGTAAAAAGACCGTTTCATCACCAAAAATTTTGCATACATCTATTGGTATGCTCTAATTAGAGTAAATTAATAATATAATATTAAAAAATAGACGTGTCAACCTGAAAAAATATATTATTTGTAGTGTACATACCGCTTTTTGAGCAGAGAAAATACAATTCATTATTGCCACGTATTGGAGTGGTGAATCGGAAGATAAAGTAATAACCAATATTCGTGGCTTAATGTGATTACCATCGTCGGCCCTCAATAAACGATTAATATCTAATAAAGACTGACGAATTAAGATTTCAATGTAAAAAAAAAAAACATTGCAGTTTGTATCTATTAAAGTGATGGATACAACACATAGCCATCGACAGAGCCCCAGCATCCATCGAGTTTGCTGTCATTAGCAGTAAAATCGGTAATCAATATATTAAATACATTACATTGTGAAAAAATGAATATATTCAATGTACTCGAATTTGACTTTTTATTTACACTGATCCAAAGTTGTGATTTGAGTATCCACATTCTTTAATAGGTTTATAGCACCAGCAGTCACATGTTGGTTGACAACACGAAAAGTTTGATACATGTTACTATCATTTGTAGAGTCCATTTCTTCGCTCAAGTGAGTATTTGCTTCAGTTATTGGATAAAGGAATTTACTAAGGGAAATTCATTCAAATCTTAGTGTTCACACAACAAATGAATAAAGTCAGATGAAAAATAAAAAGAGTAGTACCTAACACCCACGTGACTTGCTATTACTGCAAGCCTGTTATCATGCTTTAATGCGAGATGTGCATTGATAAACACTAGAATTTGACTGAGGGCTTGGTCGAAAGAAAGGCCTCCTGGAGAGGCCGCAGCTTTTGCCCAGACAAATGGATTAGTGTCAATTATTAAAACAAGTAAATTGGATTCATCTGCAAGAGAAACTAGAAAAATTAATATGAAAAAAAAGAAATGCTCAGAGAGATCGAACCCTTACCTTCACTTACGGAAACCGTGTCTTTCATTGTTTGAACAAAGTTGCTTGAATTTATTTATTTATTTATGACTCATCAATCGGATAAGAATAGATCAACAGATAAATAGATAATAATAGTTTTTTTAAAAGCGTCAAATTCAATTTGATTAATAACCTTGAGATATGTCAATTGGCGTACCGATAAAACTTTTACACGAAGCTCAAGGGCATGTAGTCACCCTTGAATTAAACAATGGTACAGTGTATAGAGGAAAACTTTCCGAAGGTAATTGATGCAATCATTATTTGTTCCATATGCTGGTAATTTCGCTTTTTCATTAGTTACGAGAGTTCTTTCTTCATTAACAATTAATAATTATACGTAATAAATAGCTGAAGATAACATGAACGTACAGCTTCGAGAAATAACTGTCACAGCACGCGATGGACGCGTATCACAACTAGACCAGGTTTACATACGTGGATCACATGTTCGCTTTTTTATAGTGCCAGATATGTTGAAAAACGCACCAATGTTTAAAAAGATAGGGCCGAATGCAATGAAAGGTAGAGGAATAGGATTAGGCAGGGGAAAGGCTACAGTTGCACGAGCGCAAGGTTTGCTTAGGTTTATTATGTGTTTGAAATTTATGATTTATTATTTTATTATTTAATAATGTTCGTGATCTTTTTGCCTTATTTAAGCGCGCGGAGGTCGGGGTCGAGCATTCCGTGGAAATCCCAGGGGTATATCGCGTGGTGGTCGTCCACAATAATGTAATAACCAATTCTTTAAAAGAAAAAAATGAAATATGACGATTTAGATATTCAGCTAATAATAATAGAAACGAATGATAATTTCTTCGAAAATTAGAATTACATGAGTTCTATCAATCTTCATATGTATCTTTAGTAAATGCCTGTTATTGGATTTTTTATAAGTGAGGATGATAAAAATTATTATAAAAATACAAAAAAATACAAAAACTAACCAGGAATAATCCGCCATCGCACAATCTCGCAATACCGTGTCCAGTCTTTTCCGTATTTACGACGACACTTTTCCTCGTCACGTAATTCACGATGTATTAATAGTATGGCGAAATAGAGAATGTAGAAATATGGAAAGATGTTGTCGAATCCTTTTTGGTTCGATATTATCAATTTTTGGTTTTTTAGTTTTGGGGGCTCTAAATTATTAAATCAGATTATTGTTACTTACCGCATGGCAGGCACCATGCCCATGACATGATCCAATCACCTATTTTATTTAATAAAAAAAATTAAAATCAATTATCATAAAAAATCTTTATAAAATGATTTTTACCTAGATAATTAATATGCCGAGCTCTTCCCCACCATCCAGAAATAATAAGACGCGAGCCTGCATCTGTAGTAATATACTTTAAATCTAAAAGTCAAAACAAAATCAAAGATGTACTTATTAGTTATCAATGGACAGATAAAAAATCTTTGAAACGTCTTGGCATACGTTTAACTCTCACATCCCCAGGATCATTTCGAAACAGGTTCTTCTCATTATTGGCACTTCGAAAAATGGTATATCCCACAGACTGGATACACACGATAAGCGCCGTTTGCAACCATGATAGATGCACGGGATGCATAGCGAGATATCGTGTTTGTAAGCCATACACAAATCCAAGCCAAGAAATATTTCCGAACGAGAGCATCCATCCGAATCCGTCGGTTGTGATGTCCATTGTTGTTAAGACTGCTGACTATAGGAACTATAATGAATGTCCGAAATATCAAAATTTACTTCTAATGTGTTATTTACCTCATTGTACGCAGAATCTACAGCATACCAGCCCTGAAAAAGAATTACTAGGAACATTCCTATTGTTAAATCGCCTAGATCATCATATTGTTTCGCAGCCATTGTTATATTCAGTATGACCCATGCGAATATTCCTACTCGTAGTTCGACAAAATACTTTATATCAAACCATCCAATACGTGGATTTAATTCGCGTCCTATCATAAACTATGAATAACGATCGATCTTAATAACTATATTAAAAATAACTGGGGAACATTCATTGATCGATCCTTACATCATAAATAACATTTCCAGAATTTCCACCAAGCGCCAATAGCACATATCCTTTTCTAAAAGACGCTAAATAGACACAAATAGCCAGAGTATATGATACCAAAACTGAAGCAGTCATCAATCCAATAAATTTTTCCGAAATAAATAAAACCGAGTCTGATCCTTTGAACAAAATTATCGCAAGCATGCCTCCAATAGTAATGACAAGACTCTTGAATCCATTCTCTTTGTATAGTAACTTATTGCCATCGCGTAAAGTGGTTCCTTGGATCCAACGACCTGGTAACAAGTACCAGCTGACCACAAGATACAATAAATATGCAATGTATATCAAGAATGCGTGAAGGTCAAATAATTGGAAGAAATTATCGAGAGTAAAGAGTGATATAAAATATGAAGGTGTTGGAAGATTTTTCACTAATTCGAGACTAGGGCATCCTTTTGGAGTGCAGCCCAGATGAAGTAGATAAAGTATCCCAGGAAGAACAGTTATCATGAGGGAGGCCCCAATGGGACCGAGAAATTCATATTCGTTGGTTCGAGGATTTAACAATGTAACTTTGGATGGTTTCATTTTTTTCTCTATATGCATATGCAAGCAAACATGTACGCAATCGATCCATGCGTATATTCATAATCTAATGATGATCGAGTAGATCGCGTCAATTTTATTTTATATTATCGTTTTTAGCCAATTGATTTGAATAGATACAATGTTAGCAAGCAATTAAACATCTGATGACAGTTGAGGATATGTCAACTTGTTAATTTAAAAAATCAAGAGAAGAATTAACTCACCGTTAAACGTTCACTATGTATCACACATGTTTTTTTAAGCACACCACGATCATGAAGATAAAAAGCTTTCCTTGCAATAATGGTTACTCACGTATGCATAAGACTCTCCAATTCTGCCTTGATCTGTTCCATTTCTTTTGTGGCATTATCCATTCGTTGCTTATAATTTGTCAAATATTCTTGTACTTGACGATAAGCTTCCTCGATTGCTTTAATTTCTTCTTGCTCGGCTTGAACACCTTTACATTTTTTATGGAATTCAAATTAGTATAAAAAGAGTGATTCAAATTAAATCATTCGACGAGATGAAACAGCATCCTGGCATTCAATCTAAATAATTCCCATACATCCAACACGACCAGGACTTACTAAAAGGTTGACTTGCAGTGCTCCGAGCGGGAAGAATCGAAGTCCTATCATTATCCGCGAGTATTTGGTACATCTCTTTGAATGGATCAATAAATATCTTGGTGATTGGAAAGATGTAATTATGTTAGATAGGTAGGAATCAATTGAATTGAATCGAATAGAAGAAAAATAGGTACTCACAAGCTCTTCATATTGAAAACTCGAGACAGTTTTACTAACGTTAGAACTAAACATTAATCCATCATCCGCATGAGGATGTAAGCGCAAATCATGATATAGCGTGATAGGTTTCTCGCCACTCTCTGGCACAAAATAAAGAATTATACTGAGTTCGAATTCACCCCACCCGGTTTCGGATATTTCAAAAGGCGGCCCTTCAACGACTTAAAAATATAATATATATATATATATATATTATATAAATTACACAAGTAGATTGATCAAATATTTTATATGCTTCCTTTTATACCTCTTTTGGGAGTTGAAAAAGTCTCATGTAATCCGAATTCCACCTTCTTGATAAAGTGACTTATGTCTTCCCCGTTGACTCCTCGAACAAATACCGTCCATTTATGTGTGCTATCTTTTGTTTTGGCGCATTTTTTCTGCGATAATGGTGAGGCGATATTTCCATAAACTATGCGTTTTGTGAATCTTGTGTTCTTTTATAATAATATTGAGTAAATTTATGAAATAAAAAGAAACAGTCTTCTTTCTACTATACCTTCACTCTGGCCATTTCGATTGGTAAGACCTATACCCCGTGGGATTGACTGATTTTGGGGTACTTAAACTGATGACCCTCAAATGATCAATCATAAATTGAGATTTAAAAAGAGATGAAATTTCCTGGATATTCAAACAAAAAATATATTATAATGGCATATCAAGTTATATAGTCTATATATTACATTATTGCATTAATTTATTAAAGACAATAGAAGTCGATAAAAGAAATACATCCATTACACGATTCGAACAAAAACTCAATATTAACAGCAAGCTGCACACCACGCATGTAATAACAACAATAACTAATATTTCGCTATGCATGGGTTTCTATGCTTCCCTTTTGCGTTCTCGTTCTTCCACATCCAAGAAAGCTAGATTTTGACTTGCACCCACTAATTGAATGACATTAATTATTTGCTTAATAACACAAATCGGAAAGGAAATGAATGTGAGTGTTCGAATTACATTTATAGGGATTTCTATTCCTGCGAATTTAGAGAAGATAATTGTCAATAAACCCCAAAAATAAATATATACAAATAATCTTCTCCTACCATATGATTCCTGATCGAATGACAAGAGATACAGTGTCACGAAAAATAATTCATTGAAAGCGCAAAAAGTGAAAAGAACAATCTAATATTTTTTTATTGAGATTATTATCGTAATCATTAATGTATGCATGGATCAAAAAGAAACTTGAAACTTTTCTCACATTATTCGAATAATACAGTTTCAGCCAGGGATTTGACGTTTCCGAAACTTTTTTATGGCTTTCTGAGCCGGCTGTTAAAGAACTAAATTCGCGTTATTGTTAATAATCGCTGATCATCCCATTAGTTATCAATTGAATAATGATGATACCTGTACATGTGCATGTAATGACTACTAAGATCCAAAGAAATCAAAAGTTGAAATACGATAGCCCAAGACGGGTAGATTGCTGAAAGAAAACACAAAAGACATGTTGTAGTGGATCTACAATAAAAGTAAACTAATCGTACGTTATTATCAATATGTGACCTAAAAAGACCGAGCGAGATACAAGAGAAATAAATACCTGTCTGTGACCATGTCTAGCACTGCACCGAACTTGCTGCCTATATATAATATTCAAGATTCGAGATTGTCTAAACAACAGCCAAGCATTCATAATGATCAAAAAATAGACATACATTGGTTAAGATGTCTTGCAACATTTCCATCCACCGCGTCTAATAAGCATGATACACTATATAAACTCATACACTTGACAGGCGCAAATGGCATATAATATAGTGAAATAATGGCTAATATTACTCGTGCGTATCCTACAAATAACAATGAAAAATTAGTCTATTGAAGAGAGCAAACTATGAAAATGAAAATGCCAAAGGAAAAATACTCTGAATGAGATCGCATAAAAATACCTATCAAGTTTGGTATAAACAAGAACACATTTTCTCGAGACAAAACATGAGCATTTTTTGCATGTACCTTTTCAATATTAAATTGGTTTTGTGACCTTACAGATGCATTCGAGGAATTTTGCTTCTTTTTCGGTTTCATGACTATACAAGTTCCTACCTAAAGTTGGACGCGGATTATTCGTAATGTAACCAAAATCCAAAAATAGATGCTTGTGTATAACAGAAATTTCTTGCAGATCACTAAACGCGTCATTAACTCAAAAATTCTCGCAAATTTAAAAATTCAGCATTTCAAAACTAAATGGACTTCACCGAACTCTACAAACAGTCACAATACTTGAGCCGGTTCTCTCCAAACGGACAATACATTGCCACCGCATTCAAACAAAAACTAGCCTTTCGCGAGGCGTCCTCTCTTCAAATACTATCAATACACACCAGCGCCGACCTAATAGAAAACATTGCATGGTCTGCCGACTCAGAGTTACTATTTGCAGCCAGTTATAAAGCTGGCATTATAAATATTTGGAGTGTGTCGGACAAGAAGTGGAGTGCAAAGATTGAGGAGGGTACTGTGGGGTTGACTAATGCTAAGTGGAGTCCGGATGGAAGGAGTGTTTTGTGTTTTTCTGATTTTCAGGTATTTTCTATTTATATAAGCATTAATTGAATTCTATACATTTAATTTGATAAAATACTCTCTTAAAGGTTCGAACCACTATATGGTCTCTTATAACCGGGGAAGCTTGTTTCATTCAATTTCCAAAATACTCTGATAAAGGTATTTGTTTTTCTTTATACAAAATTATTACAATCTTTATTTAAGGGGTCGTAGTATCTTGAATATCCGCATTTTCCAACAATAATTACATTCTAGGATTCGATTTTCGAAAGGATGGGAAGTATTTTGTTTTAGCTGAACGTCGGGACGGTAAAGATTTTGTCGGAATTTATGATTGTAATAATGCGTGGACTTTATTAAAGGTGAGTACGAGAGATAAAGTAAAACCTTTGGATATTTTAAGTGATTCAACATTTAATTTATATAAATTGTGTATAATGCAGCATTTTCAAGTGGACACGGTAGATCTGGAAAATTTAGCGTGGTCACCCGACGGACGGTATATTGCAATATGGGATAAGTGTATTGATGTAAGTTATGACCGGTTTTCCATTTTTTGGGAAACACGAAGGAAAAAACATTTCTTATACAATTAACCTCAAAAAACAGTATAAAGTTCTTATATATACACCAGATGGTAGAAGGCAGCAATTGTTCTCTGCTTACTATATGGGCTTGGGAGTCAAGACGGCTGTGTGGGCACCTTCTAGTCAATTTTTAGCGGTTGGAAGTTATGATCAAAAGGTATAAGGTTAAGGTGTCATATAAAATCGCTTTCTTTAAAACGAGTGTGAATAATGATAAATAGTATTATTCACTAGATTAGGTTTTTGAATCATTACACGTGGACACCGACTCTTGAATTTACTCATTTTAATCCGGTTAATGGCATTGACAACCTGGTATCTGATAGTTTGCTTCCTAGCTCTTTTTCCCGATCATTATGTCTTTCTAATAATACAATGTTTTCTATATAACTAGGTTATTATGAGAGAAGCTAGAGAGATGAAGGATAGACGATCTATAAGGAAATGTAAGCCGACGATTATATATTTTTAAGCTTGACAACAACTTAATAATTAAAACAACCTATCAGATGTTATTGATCAACAACCAATGGAATTACCAGAGATTCGTCCAGACCCCGAGAAACCAAATCCGAAACTAGGTGTTGGCTTATGTAAATTCAATGCTAATGGCACGCTAGTTGCGTCGCGTAATGGTGATGTATATTTCATCACTTCACAGCAAACAGATACTTTATGGAAAAAGATAGTTTGATTTGGAAATGATAATTATTTTCTATTAATAATTATTAGATAACATGCCAAATAGCCTGTGGATATGGGACATTTCTCTATTAAAACCAATCACGATATTTATACAATTAATGCCAATCAGAAATTTCCAATGGAACCCTTGTTACCCGAATCAGCTTGTGCTTTGTTGTGGGTCCGAGTATATTTATGTGTGGTCCGGATCGGAAATAGGTGCTGATATTATTGAAGTACCACAAGGTATATACAAAATATAGCGTATCATATAAGAATATCATGGCATTAAATGATATGCTAATTAATATCTGTCATTTAGTAAATTTCCTTGTAAATAGCTTTCGATGGAATCCCGATGGTCACTCGTTATTGTTGATGGACAAAGAAGTATTTTGTGTCGGTTTCTTTGTTAATGAAGAAGAACCAGATGATTAGAGATGCGACCTAAACCATCACATTATGTTTCTATAGTGCATACAACCTAGTTACATCAATAAAATTTTGATCAATTTTAAATCTTTTTACACTTTTACAAAATACATGTATTTAAAAAAACTATATTTTGTAAAATTGCTTATCAGCTTCCAGTTTGCTTAATTTTTCATAAAATAATAATAGTCAAATTAAATCTAAAAATCCAGAAAATATATAGTAATTAACAAATTATGGAATTACATGTGCAATTTTATTAATAAAATATAGTCAAAATTAAAATTTTTATCTTAAAAAAATTTTCGACTTTATTAATAAAATTGAAAACTTTTATAAGACAAAATGTAATTTTTACTATGTTTTATTAATAAAATTGCACATATAGTTCTATAATTTTGTTAATTATTTTATGTTAAAATTAAATTACAATTTTTATTTGAATATAAAATAAAAATAGTTATTAATAAAATTAATAAAAAAAAATTCAATTTTATTATATTTTAATAATAAATTTATACATGTAATTTAATTATTTAAATTAAATTAAATATTAAATAACAATGACTAACAGGATTATGGAATCACATGTACAATTTTATTAATAAAACATAGTAAAAATTAAAATTTTTATCTTATATAAAAGTTTTTAATTTTATTAATAAAATTAAAAACTTTTATATAAACAAAAATGTCAATTTTTACTATATTTTATTAATAAAATTGTACATATGATTTCATAATTCTGTTAACAGATTTTAATAATAAATAATTAATAATAATAATAAATGATTAATAATATAAAATTTTAGCAAAAATATAAGTAAGAATCAAATATTAGATAAGTTTAAATAATATATTATAAATTAAAATTTTTAATATTTATATATTTTTATTAGATAATTATATTTTTATATTTATTAAATAATTAATTAATTAGTAATAATTATTTTAATAATTATTTTATTTTATAATTTGATTAATAACTTTACAAATATAATTTATTTATTAACTAAAAAATAACTTTTGTTTAATTAATAATTTTTTATTTTAATTATAAAGTTATAATTATTATATAATTTTATTTTAATTATAAAATTGTAATTATTTAAATTAATAAAAAGAATTATCAATATTTTATTATTTATAAATTACTTTTAAAGTTATAATTATTTTTATTTTTATTTAAAAGAAAATTCTTGAATTTATTTTAACTATTTAACAAAATAAATACATATTATTTATTTTTAAAAATAATAGTATCTTTTTCATTCACAGTTTAATTATTTATATTATTTGGCTAAAAATATATAAAAAATATATTATATATTTGAAAGTAATAAAATTATATATAATAATAATAATATTAAAAACAAAATTATAATAAAATATATAATAAATTAAAAAAAGTATATTATAAGATATAAAAATAATAAAAAACAAAGATAACAAAACAAAAAATAAAAACAAATATAAAATATGCAAAAATAAAAAAAATAAAAATATAATTAAGATATAATTAAAACAAATCTTCTTAATTTATTTTTATATTATATTAACTTATATATATATATTATATAATTTATCAATAAAATAATAAATTTAAAATATATTAATATGATATAAATAGCTTAATCATATATATTATTACTGAATTTTTGAAGAATTATTATTTTAAATAAGCTATTATATGCAATACTACAGTCAACACAGAAGTAATAACGAACATGTTTTTCATCTATAACTTGATAAGAAATTGCTAAAAATTTGGCATTATATTCTTTAGGATGACAGAAACAAAAATTTTCTAAGATCACAAAGCGTGTTAACATAGTGTAATCACGTGCTAAAAGTGGCGGGCTGAATGACTACCCTGGTTAAATAAATAATTTTATAGAAATATATTTAAAGATATAAAAAATATATTTGTAATTTAAAAAAAATTTTTAGTTGATATTTATTGAATAAATGCCAGTCAAAAAAAAGACTTAATTTTGATAAATTTTATAATAAAATATAGTAAAGTATAGTAAAATATAATAAAAATATTATTTTTATTATATTTTATTATGAAATTTATTAAAATTAAGCCTTTTTTTGACTGGCATTTATTCAATAAATATCAACTAAAAATTTTTTAAATTACAAATATATTTTCTATATCTTTAAATATATTTTTATAAAATTATTTTCATACTTGCTTATAAAAAATATTTTAAATAATTTTTTATAGCTCTTTAACTAGGGTAGTTCCCAGACCCACCATCTTTGACACGTGATTTCACAAAATATTACTATGTTAACATGCTTTGTGACCTTAGAAAATTTTGTTTCCGTCATCTTAAAGAATATAATACCAAATATTTACGATATTTGAGTAATTCCTTGTTAAGATATTGATGAATTTCAACAAAAAACATGACTGCCATTACTTTTCGTGTTAACTGTAAAAAGAAATATTATTTTTAAATAAGTTATTATATATAATTCTAATTAGAATTTTATATGAAAAATAATTATATAATTTTATATAATAAAATTTAATTAATTAAAAATAATATATATAATATTTCAAATACTGAAAATTTCTTTATTATTATTAAAAAAATCTAATTACAAATAATTTTTATAATAAAATAAAAAATATATATTATATTATAAAATATATTAAAGATTATTTAATAATATATTTTTTTAATAATTAATTATTTAAATAAAAATTTTTTATATTTGAAATTATTGAATAATTTTAGATTGTTTATATTATATATAAAGTTTGTATAATATTTATATATTATTAATTTAATTAATATAAAAATAATAATATTTATTAGCTAATATTCTAGAAAAATAAAAGTAAAATTTAATTTTAAATAATACAAAATTAAGTATTTTAATTAAATAAAAGAGAAAATATTTTATTAAATAGTATTAATATTTAGTAGCTAACAGAATTATAAAATAATATATGTAAATTATTAATAAAATATAATAAAAATTAAAATTTTTGTCTTTTCAATTTTATTAATAAATATTTTTTATTTTTATAAATTTTTTTCTAATAAAGTTATTCTAATTGCAAAGTTATTGTAAAATTTTTTATAATTAATTTTATATTTTAATTATAAAAAAATTTTGCAATTAGAAGAACTTTATCAGAAAAAATCCATCTTGAAAAATTTCATTCTAGCAGATCACAAAACAAATATATATTATTTATTTTTAGATATAATATTTTCTCTTTTATTGAAGTTAATTTATATATATTTCTTTTATCTGTTTTAGTTTCATATGTTATTCACATGTCTTTTTATAATAAAACTAAAATATTAATAGATAAAAATAAAATTTGAAATAATATTAATAAAATTTAAACTGAAATAATGCAATAATAATATAAAATAATTGAATAAAAATATTAAAGAATATAAAAAAAAGAAAAGTAAATATGAAAAGATATTACTGCAATTTGAAAAAAAAACATGTAATAAAAATAAAAATAAAACAATTATAATAATATAAATTATATAAATACTATTTATTGTACTTATTCCATATGTACAAACTTTTATACTTCTAGTTTTATTAAAATTTTTTTGTAAAACAAAAATCAATATCTTGAAAATTAATTTAGTTAACAAGCAATCTATTATTATTTATTCCTTGTTTTTTTATTCTATTTGACATGTCTTTACTAAGCAAATAAGTCATCATCCATCAATTTTTTTGGATCTTAAGAGAATAATCAATATGAGGCACACTCTGTGACAAACTTCCCATACTCAAAATATCTAAATCTTTTAAAATAAATATTATTAAATATTCAGTTTTTATAATGCGTGCACTATAATCAAAATAAATTGTACGTTTTAAAGTTCTGTAACTTCTTGATTAAATGTAAATTCAAAATCTAATCTGTAATTATGATCAAGAAAAGCCTCTATGGATTAAATTTTTGTATTTACTTTCTAATTAAGAAATCATAGAACTTTAAAAGAATATTATGCACCATTTCATCAATTGACAATTCATAAGTTCAAAAAAAATAAATAATAAATACCAGGTGAAAAATATTCCATAATGTTATCTTCAGTAATTCCACCACTAGACTCCAACAAAAATTTATAGTTTGGCCATCGCGACTTTAAAGACTTCGCCACGGTTTTCAATCCCTCGCCTTGCATATTGTCAAGCATTATGACATTGGCACCAGCGAGAATCGCTTCATCTGCTTCGGATTCTGTGCGGCATTCTACTTCTACTTTTAGGGAGAATCCGCTGACTGCTCGCGCTCGATTCACTGCCTGTGTTATTGAGCCTATAATAAACAATAAACTTAGAAGAGGAATGAAAAGTCGAGTAATTTAGGTATTTACCTTGACTCCAAATATGGTTATCTTTTAACATTACCATCGAGGATAAATCGACGCGATGTGTGTCTGCTCCGCCAACTAACATTCCATACTTTTCCACCAAGCGAAAACCTTTTGAGTATTTTATTTTGTGCACAAATATAGTTAATTATGTTGAAAATAAGTCAATAATTTATATGGTGAATTAACTTACCGGGCGTAGTTTTTCTTGTTCCAGCAATAACACCATGAAATCCGTGCTTTTTTTTTAGATCATTACATCTTTTAGCTCTAATTTATATTTGAATATACAATATCAATTCGAAAAACAATTCTGAAAATAATTTGGGCTCGCTAATAGAAAATACCTGGTAGCAATACCACTACAGCGTGCAATAATATTCAATGCTGTACGTTCTCCCAATAAAATATTACGTGCCTTTCCATGAACACGTGCAACTTCCTTGACTGGTTGAAAAAACTCTCCTTCTTTGAGAAACCAATCGACTCTATTCATTCAAATAAGTGGGAACGCGTAAATACACGCGTAAATTTCACGTATTTTGAAAATTTAAAGTTATTTATTAGGCAAACCTGCAATTTAATTGTCTAAATAGTTCATTAAAGAATGGAACACCGGCTAGCACACCCTTTCCAAATTAAAGAACACGCAGGTTGGTTAATTCTCATTATAAAGTGAATTTACAAGCAAGAAATTCTTACGGGTGTTTTGCCTAACAAAGAAGCAATTTTAACATCATCGCCGACAACGTAACCTCCATAGTCGAAAGAGGGGATATCCTCTTTTAACCATGCTTTGATATCGTCTTTAAAATTTTGCGGGAGTAAATGTTCGAGAGAAGAGGTTGTAGTAGATTCCATTGTACAACGAGCATAAAATTCTTGAAGGCCGCCAATCAGATATAATAATTCTTGTCGTATTAGACCATGCTATTATTATCTAATAATTTTATTTTATCCGTGCGGATAGGCGTCAGACATTTTGAAACTCGGAAAAAAATTTCAAACTACTACTACTCGGGCTCCATTAAACTCCAAAAAAAGTCAATTTACTCGCGACCAACACCAGCTGTGAAAAATTCCCGAAACTTTGTAGTTAACAGAAAAGCATTATCGCTTTTAACTTCACTGGCACGAGGAGACCATGAGCGTGCTTGGGAAGAATACAACAGTTTATCAAAGAAAATGCAGTTATACATTTTATTTCCCGAGCATCATTCACTTGTATTGAAAAGCATTGAAGCACCGCTCGAAAGAACTCCCCAGCTAGGGCAGCAAAAAGATTATTGTCGAGAAAAACTGTTTATTGTTTATCGGAGAATGTTGAATTGCAAAATTACACCAAACAGTTTGGACGTGACGCACATGTTAAAAGTGTTGAGCGCAATGGGAGACTATCGACTTTGCGATCGTGTTTGGGAGCATATTGTCCAGTACAGAATAAAACCGACTACGTTTGCGTATAACTGCTATATGAAAAGTCATGTTACGCGATTCTACAAACGACTATTTGATGAAGAAAATCCGAATTCATTTAAACCATTTTATCCGAATTATCATCCATCGCGTGTAACCCCTGAAGAGATCAAGCAGCATGTGCTCAAAAGTTTTAGACATCTGCTCGATTCCGGTATACACCCAAACAGAGTCACCTATTCGATCTTGATGAAAATGTTCGCGGTTACAGGGGACGTTGAAAACGTGAGATATATTTTCGACAAAGCGTTTACTGAGCAATTACCAATTGATAATATCGACCAGGATGACGAAGAATTAAAAAACATTGATGCAAAAGAAGTGTCATCACCGGACTTTTCACCTTTATTAAAACGTAAACTATTAATTAAATCAAATAAACAAATACAATTAATACCAACTAATAATATTATGGACTCATTAATTCATGCGTATGGAAAAGCAGGAGATTTAATAGGAATGAATTCAGTTTTAGAAGAATTAATGCCACAGTATAATATTCTTCCGAGGGATGAGACATACAAGCAACTCATAAAATGGGCATATGAATGGAACGACTTAGATGCCGCGTATAAATATTATCAAATGCTGAAAAAAGAAAAGCAAGTCGAATTCATACCACATCGAGATATCATGAAATCGCTTATAAACCATGTATTCGAAAAAGGAAATGAGACGGACGCACTGAGCATCTTCAAAGATTGCCCCGCACGCGAAACACTAAACTCTTTGATTAAAGGCTACGCAAAACTCAGCAACCTGAAACGATTGAACGAATGTCTATACGAGCTAATGCCTCAGAATAAAATCTTCCCATCGGTGGAGACATTCAATATGCTGATTTACGGGTACGGTAAACTAGGCCATCTGGTGCGGATGCACGAAATATTTGACAAGTATATGCCGCAGTATAGTGCTAAACCGAGTTTGGATACTTTTCATTTACTAATAACTAGTTCGCAATTATGGGGCGATGTGAAGAACTTGAGAAGATATTATGATATTGTCAATGATACAGGGTACCAGTATATACCGAATACTACAATCATTCAGTCTTTAATAGACTATGAATGTGCAGAGCATTCTCCGGAAGCGGCTGTAAAATTGCTAAAAGATATGCGGGATAGGCATACAATAGGTCCAATTGGTGCATTTTTGTCACAAATATATTTAAAGTTGACGCAAAATAAATATTCGAGGGATACTGATAAGTTTATTCGAGAGTTTGGCGAATACTTTAATACGACGAAAGTTTGATTATTAATACACTATTGGTAGAAAATTTTGAAAGATTCGATTTAATTTGTGCTTCGGTTGATGTATCATTATTAAGTTAAACTGATTTTGGTAAAAAAAATTTATGTTTATAGTTTATAATTGTATAATGTAAATAGATTCTAGACGATAAAAATCATCAGAAATATATAATAATATAATATCATTTCATAGTTACATATACGAAAATCTAACAATATTGTTATTTTATTGCCAAAGTAAAATGTCTAAAAATAAAACCGAAAACATTTCTTACAAAGAGAAAAAGATGCCGTTGTCTAAACGACAAATAAATATTTCTATCCAGAATTCATATAACAAACGAGCAAAGAATAATAAAATCGATCAATCCAATGCCATATCTTTCTTAATCTGTGCGATCGCTTTTCCAGGATTCAAGCCCTTTGGACACGTACGCGTGCAATTCATGATAGTATGGCAACGATAGACCGAGAAAGGATTCTGTAAAGCCTCACGTCTCTCGTGAGCAAAATCGTCTCTGGTATCAGCCATCCATCTATAAGCCTGCATCAACACAGCCGGGCCAAGGTATTCATCAGAATTCCACCAGTAGCTAGGGCATGCAGTGGAGCAACAGGCACATAAGATACATTCGTAAAGACCGTCTAGTTTCTTACGATCCGCGATGCTTTGCAAGTTTTCACGATTGCCTTCTTTGTGTTCGGTCTTTTTTTTGAGGTACGGTTCAATCGATTTGTATTGTTTGTAGAAATGTGTCATATCTGGAACTATATCTTTGACGATATACACTATAAACGTCGTCATAAGGTATAGTTAATAAGCATATCTTTGTTTGCTGACTTATATTTTAATCGATTCACAGAATATATCAAATGCTTACTTACTATGAGGCAAAGGATAAATTTTGCTCTTTGACGCATTACGATCAATCTTACATAAACAAGCCAAAGTATTCACACCATCAATATTCATAGCACAGGATCCACAAATTCCTTCACGACATGAACGACGGAACGTTAATGTAGCGTCCTGTTCATTTTTGATCTTAATGAGCGCGTCCAAGACCATTGGACCACATGCATTCAGATCAATCTCATATGGTTGTAAATGGGGTTTAGCACTCGGGTAATCGGGGTCCTATATATTTTATATTATTGTTTTTGTTACTGTTGCCAATTTATAAATTTAATAGAATAATGATTTACCCAACGATAAATTGCAAATGTCTTGTATTGAGGAGCCTTTTTTTGCACTGAATAAGAATAAAATCGAATAAATTTTAAGCTATATGGTATGTATAGCATAAGATAAAAAATTTCTACCTGGTTTGCGGGTCAATGAAGGTGCTACTCGATATCGAAGAATTATGGATTGTGTAAAACAATAACTGTAAGAAATAACGTTCTGCAAGGGCGAGAAAGTTTCAATGCTTACTTACCAACTTCCGCGACCATTTGAGCAGATGCTGAGGTTTTTAAGGTGCGAGCCAAGTATGCTGTTGACTAAGCGTACAGGAGTCGAAAACACGAATAAGGCCTCATGCATTAATTCGCATAAACTATGTTATACTTACTAGAAGAGCATTATGCTTGACTCCAGAAAGAAATGGTCGAGAAACAGTTATTACCAAAGACATCTTTTACTTGAGAGGTTCTGTTATTCATTTCTCTAAAGATCTCGATTTTATAAAAATCATTCCAAATTTGTGCGATGTAGATGTAAAAGTGGCGTTCACGTGAAATAAAAAATGAATTGACAGACGAGCGACTGAATTTCGTCAAATTTTGATAAAATAAAAAAAAATGGCCGACGACGATTATAAATTTACACTTGAAGAACTAGACAACATGAAGCGGAATGAACTTCGTAGGCTTAGTAGGGTAATGACATTTGTCGTGTTGCAAATTTTTTCTATATACTCATTTCGGAATACTAATAATAATATGTGATAATAATTATAAAGATGCATAATTTAGGTGTAGGGAATGAAACTGTGAGTATTCTGAGAAAAATATATAACTTTTGTCACGATAATCAAAAATCCATAAATATATATTTTTATTTTACAAGAACGAATCAATTATAGAATCGCTGAAACCTTATGCAACTGATTATATTGATGAATATCAAGAAAGCAATAATTCCAATTCAAGCACCGTAGCTACACCAATTGCGGCCACACCAATTGCACCTACACCAATTGCACAAACACCACCGCCACTATCGTCACAACAACAACAGCCTCCTATATTTGCACCTAATCCTAGCTTACGAGGTGGCGCTACTAAGGCTTCCGGAAAGAAAAGAGCTCGATATGAATCTCCATCTCTTGACGAAGGCATGTTTATATTTAGAAAGTTTGACGTGTATTTTTTTTTGCATTTTGTTAATCACTGAACTTTTATATCAAATAAATATAATTAGCATAAGTGAATGGAATAGTGTAGTTTACAGCATCATAACACTAATTATGATTTTCTGAATGGTAATTAATTAGTCGACACTGAAATAACTCGTTGGCTGATTGATATCAATATGGAAGATCTTGTGACAAAGTTTGTCGAAAATGGGTTGACAGAGGATTGGAATTTAATTGAACAACTACAACCTGCACATATGATGGCAATGGGATTTTCCATCGCAAAATCAATTCAATTGGAGAATAGAATAAAAGGTTCTTTTTTTTAATTTTTATTTCAATTCAAAATAATTTGTTATAATAATGATTATGGATATGAATGGTAAAATTACAGAGCACTTCAAAAAAAATCAAATTTCAACCAATGATCGACTTAATTCCCTCGAAGATATGTTAACACAAAGTCAAAACACAATGAACGAATTTCAATCCCGATTAACACTCGAAATTGACGAAAAATTCGCACAACTCCACGCAAAAATTGACAAAAATTATGCTCAAATCAACACTCAACTTGACGAACAATTTACGCAATTCAATACAAAATTTGAATCCTTAGAAAACACCATGTCAAAACTAGATCAGAGTGTTGGTCGACTGGAGAACGAAATCTCTTCCGTCGTCGTGGCGAACCAGCGACCACGAATAATGCTCAGTTATGATGAAGTTGAGATGATTGCCATGCGGACGGTTAATCACTGGAAAAAAGAAATTTTTTATTGTAAGTCTGTTGTTATTTAGATTTTTTATGTTGTGTTTTGGATATTTTTTTCACATCGCTGTTGGTATATTCAAGTCCTTCATATATATTTAAAGTCAAGAAGAGCATCTTTGATCTCTTTGTTTTTCATCATTGTTTTTTTTTTACCGTCCTTATTAATAATAATAATCATTTAGCAAGCGAAGCCGCCAAGCTGCGTATTCGTCAAAATCGTCCCTCTTTTATTTCCTTTCCTTTTTAACAAGAAATTATCTTGTGTAATGTGTGTGAGTGTTATTTGATTTGTTTCTAAAGCATACTTTTAATGACAATATTCATGGAATTCATATTAATGAAAATTAAAAACGTGACTATTCCATATTAAGTGATGATCCGCGAGGGATCGATCTTGCCGTTGCTTGTTACTCAAATCTAACGATATTGATACTCGTTATATAAAACATGTAACGGTTTTTTATTTTTAGACTGTTGCAACGGTTTAGCAGGTTCTATTCCGTTAAATTAGCGAATATCACTACCGCTACTACCTTTATTAACACATAAGCATAGTGCATTTATCTTTTAAAACTATTTGTTCAAGAGATATGCCAATAGTCAAAATAGGACCAACTTATGATTATCTTCAAGAATATAATGTAAACGACGACCAACACCCTTTACTCGTTAATTCTCCTCATTTTACAGGGTACATTACTGTTCGACTACAAAACAACAATAGAAATCTTACTTCTTTAAATGATAATAATAATGAGAACAATAAAAAAGTTCATTTGACAACGTGCGATTATTTTGAAAATCACCGACGATTTTTCTCATTTCAAATTCAAGGTCGTTTTAAAGCGACAAACACAGAACGTCAAGATAATCTCTGGACTTATGATGATGTGCTTTTTTGTGCAGAAACGGAGCACGCTGTTAAACCTCCGATGGGCTCTTCTTTGGCTGTTAAATTCGCTCAGTATATTGATCCAGGGTTTACTGCTGAAAGAATTTTTGAGGAAATTCGGCCTTGGGTGGGGAGTTGGGTTATGTGTGGAATGAATGTTGTAAAAGTCTGGCGTGCAGAACGAGATGAAAAACAAACATCACATAAGAACATTCTTTTATCAGAAGACTCATCATCTCCTTTACTGCCAGTTGGACCCTGGGTATACTACGGCAAGCATCATTTAGAAGAAGACATAAATTTAATACTACCTGAACACAAATTTTCTTCTGCACAACGACGCACCTATTTTACAAATCCCGAAATTCGTAAATCTCATGTTTTCGATCCGGAACATATCTACGCATTTGACTTCTTTAACAATTTTACGGATCTTTCGACAATGACTGCCAGTATGATTATCAACTTTAGTATTTCGCATGTTATCAATAATCAGCCGTTGAGATTCGCGTGTAGAACTAGAGAAGGGGAGGCTTTGTTTTTTGTTATCGAGATAGATTATTCTTCATATTGAGTTGGCTTTAATTTTGATATTACCAAGTATAGGAAAATCCGATCAAATCAAATATTTCCAAGTGTTGTAAAATTTTCTCGGAAAATTACATATATTAAATAATTGGACGATTTAAGATTTTGAGAAATTCGTGTTTTTGTCAAGCAAATGCATTTTTATAATCGAAATCTTGTGCATAGGATACGAGTTTTCTGAAACATTATAATGCTCTCCAAACGAAAACTTTTTAGTTTTTGGCTTGGTAATAAATTTAACTTGCGTGTCACACTCAAACTTTGAATTGACTTTTTTATCTTTATTTTTAGTTTGTACGCTCCTTTTATTCTCGCCTAATATAATCTTGGGCGAAGAAATACGTGAGGGAGTCACCAATGAAAAAGTGAATAGTCGAGAAGAGGTGAGTTTTACTCCGTCGTGAGGTTTTCTTACTTCCTGAACAATTGTTTGTTTGATACCTGATCCTACGCTTAAGTGAATTGAGGTATGCAATTATTATTTATAATGCTACTCTTACAGTTACTTGATAAAGTTATTTCTTACTCAATCCTGTCCCAAAGTTAGTTAGCATGTGCACTGACTCTTTAACCTGGGAAGATTTAACACCAATAATTGTGGGAGATTCAAAAAGCAATTGTGCCAGGAGTAATTACGATAACCTAACAGAGCATTGAATACAAATTGTTGTTTAAATCAGAAATCAAAACCCAATCTCGCGGAAAATATTCAATCGGAATCTTCATCACAACAAAATTCATTGACGAATTTTTCAGGTGGATTTTATTTTGCATTTGATTTTCATTTTTAATTAACGATTATTTTAAATGGCTAAAGCATTCATTTGTGTCTTTAGCCGATGAATTGTATCAACGTGCACTCAATATTCTTAATAGTCTAAAACCAATTTCGCCGAAGCCTTCGCAATCCATTACCGAAAATGATGATGTGGACGCGAGCATATTACCTTTTTCATTACGTTTGTTGGGAAAGATTTTTATATCACTGTTTTCAAAATCGAAAAACTTGCAACAATCGGTTAATGGTGAAATCCCAAAGAAATATGAAATTGAGCCAAAAAATGAAAAATTGGAGCTTGGTATTGCAATGTTGAAGAAAGCGGGTTTAGACCTAGGACATGACGATGCATTATACTCATTAGCCGATATCAATTTTGTAAGTTATTAATTTTTTCATGTATTAATATCTTGTGTTAATATCAATAATCACTGATTGCTTTCGCTAGCACGCAAAATATTCACATCGACGTAATCTGACAGCTGCTTTTGAATATTATAAAATTTTGGCAACAAGATCTGGTAATGCGACTGCTCAACAAATGGTTGGATTTATGTACGCCACGGGAATCGGTGAAAAGATACAACGCGATCAAGCACAGGTATTTTATCGAATTAGATGTTTGGTAGATGTAGATGACTTCTTTGAAAATTCTAATTATAAAATATTTTCTCAAAGTCTTTGATTTATCATACATTTGCTGCGCACGGTGGGGATACTGCCAGTCAAATGACACTTGCATATCGTTATCTAATGGGTATTGGAGTACCACGTAGTTGTGAAGATGCTATATATCACTATAAACAAGTTGCTGATAAAGGTAAAAATAAACTGATATTACAATACACTTTCTTGTCTTTTATTATTAATATTTCTATTTATATTGTATGAGAATAGCAGTTGAATATTATAAATCAGGACCTCCAGGAGGACGCCAACTTCCTCCATCTAAAATTCGACTATACGAAGAAGATGGTGGGGTATACGGATATGGTGCTTCTGGTCTTACATCTCTTAGCAGAGGAGACTCTGCAGCTTGGGATGACATATTGGAGTATTATCGATATATGGCTGAACACAGAGATCAACATGCCCAGGTAGTTATTACAAATTATTATTTTTTGTCCGGATTGGATCGGTGAATCGTGAGATATTATCGAGGATTCGCTCTGCAGGCGTCTGGAGGGTGGACTCCAGGCGCCGCCCCCGTTTGGTACTATTAGCAGCGGCAGTTGCGGCCGGTCCAGCCGCCAATTTTTTGTTATAAAAAATATATTCTTGATTAAATATTTTTCATATGAAATTTCCCCTCTAGTTGATATTGGGTCAACTTTTTTATCAAGGCACTCGAAATATACCCCAAAACTTTGATCAAGCATTACGTTATCTCAATCTTGTTGCATTTCAATATAACTGGCCGAATGATATATCAAAAATCGATGAACAGACATTAAATTCTCAAGCTGCACAGGCAGCATCCGCGGCTGCAGGCATTTTGGGACAAATGTACTGGCGTGCAGAGGGTGTCATGCAAAATAATGCAACAGCGTTATTGTGGTTCACAAAAGGTGCAACACTGGTAAGCGATAATTTTCAACATATATTATTTTTTTGCTACAATTAAACATCTCGTTAATCGAAATTTATTGCAAATTAATTAATACAAACAAAGGGCAATCCTGTGGCTCAAAATGGGTTAGGTCTAATGTATCTACATGGACTATCCGATAAAAACGGTGAATTGCTATCAAAGGTAAAATTTACAATAATAAATATATGCAAAAAAATTTGGCATTTTATCTTATTATATTTCTTTGCAGAATCGTAAAGAAGCTGAACGTTATTTTAAAATGGCAGCGGAAGCAAAAAATCCTGATGCCCAAGTCAACTTAGGGCTATATTTGTGTGAGTTTCTTAATATCGTTGTCTTGTCTATCATATTCTGATTACTAATTCTTGTCATATTACTAGACAACAAACGTGAGTATGAAAACGCCTATCAATATTTTCACACCGCTGCACAATCTGCGAATTTTCTGGCACATTATTATTTAGCCGAGATGCACGCTAAGGGTGAAGGCACTCGTAAATCTTGTAGTTTAGCTTCAGCGGTAATTTAGATTTTGAAACTATATTTTGCATTAATGATTGATGTTTTTTACTGAAACGGAATATCACTCTAGTATTATAAAATGGTCGCGGAAAAAGGTGATTGGCTTCATTCTCCTTTCCAAGCTGCTCGAGAAGCTTATCAATCTGGTGATAAAGATGGTGCTTTACTTAATTATTTGATTGCTGCTGAACGAGGATATGAAATAGGGCAGGCAAATGTCGCATGGTTACTCGATAGAGGTGCATATTTTATTATATTTTATTATTATTTAGATTATTATGTTATTGAACAGTATACTAATTTCTTAATTTAGATAAAGCAAGGTGGCAATTGCCTCATGTGACTCCCAAACCTGACCCTGATCGAGAAAAACTTGCCTTGATATACTGGACACGTTCTGCAAATCAGGGAAATGTTGACTCTCGACTTAAAATGGGAGATTATTATTTCAAAGGCTTTGGTACTGATGTAGATTATGAAAAAGCTGCAGCTTGCTATCAGGTTGCAGCTGAATTCGAGTCAAGTTCTATGGCGATGTGGAATCTGGGTTGGATGCATGAGAATGGAATCGGGGTCTCGAGAGTGAGTCTGTTTCTTCTTTAATATGTTACTCAACATTTTTTTTTCAGCGATTAAATATTTTATTTTTATTACTAAAAAGGATTTTCACCTAGCAAAACGATGGTACGATCAATCACTCTCTACGAATCAAGAAGCATATCTTCCGGTGACATTATCTTTACTTAAATTATATTCGAGAAGTTTTTGGAATTATATTACCGGAGGTGATGATGGGGATGAAGTCGATACTGCAAGTACATCAAAAGGACTATGGTGGGAAAGTATAGCATCAAGAAAAATTTCAGATGAAAAGAAATCCGACACTACTTCATTAACCAAAGATGGAACTGGTGGCGGTGACACTGGCAGTGGTGGCTCTTCTAAACAAGAAAGACATGATTGGGGTATTGGACCAAATGAAGATCAATTATGGAAAAATTTTCATGCACGTAAAAAAAGCGAAGATTTTACGGATTCCACAATTGACGAAGGTTATGAAGACGAGGAAATACAAGATGATTTAATGGAAAGTTTAATGATTTTGGTAATATGTCTTTTAATTGGGTGGCTGGTATATATACGTCAATTACGATGGGGTCAAAATGATAATAATAGAGGGGGAGCAGGTGGTGGTGGCGGTGATGGTGATGGAGGTAGGAATGCAGTAGGAGGAATCGGAGTTGGAGGTGATTGGCCTCCTCAAGGGTTATTGGATGATGATAATATTGGACGATTTGCTTGGGCCGGTGCTGGTGGACATTAGATTTTATTTTTAATACAAGAACTTTATACTTTCACAGTACTAATATTATTTTTGATTGGTTTCATTTAATTAATTTTCTAAACTCGATTAATATATAGCGTCTATTTATACAATAAAAAGACACAAAAGTTTGCTTTTACGCATTTTCCAGAGATTTTTAAATAAATCATTGGTGTTTAGTAAAAATACTATTCAAGTAATTAACATATTAAATTGTCCATGATAACAACGAACCACTTGAATTATTATTATTATAATTGCCTTCAACAAAATCACCACCATCCAATAAATCATTTTCAAGCAAACTTTCAATATAAGCTAAATCAGGTTCAGCTAGCGAAAAAGTAGATTGATACACGTAGAGACTAACATGGCGCACGAAAAATTCCAATTGTCCAAGGTTAGTTATGGTTCGCATTGTTAACATTGGGCGTTTAAGGTCTCCACCGGTGGAATGGGAAATTAAAGATGTGGAGGAAGAAGATATAGATGGAAGTTGTGGTGGTAAAGGAGAACTGGTTCTTTTCGGTTTTTTTGAGATTTGATTCGCTTGCGTGTTCTACGTAAATAAGATCAATTTATAGTTGGATGTGTAATAATCAAGTGGTGTGTATAAATCTGTAATAATAATACCTTGGAGTCACCACTTCTTTCATGTTGAACTATTAGTTTTTCACCGAGTTTGTCTAATTGTGCGTATGAAGACTCAGATGCCGACCGATAAATCACGTCAATGGTATCTGTAATGAATATCCATTCATATCTGAATTTATATGCAAAAAAACCTTAAGCGTGCGCAATGAAATGTAAAAAGTAAAAAAAATGATATATAGAAATTTTTTTAAAAAAACGTACACTTGAAATTCATCAGTCTGCAACACGAATAAAAGATCCAAAAATTTGCAAGAAGCCAGAAATACATTGAGCACTTCTGGTTGTTCTGGTAGTATTTCTTGTTGTAATATTCCAAAAAGACGTATCTATTTGTGATAAGTATATAAAACAATTTGATTATTATTGCTTACGATTAAATGGTTAAACGAGAAATTACGCAAGACAAAAATCCAACCAATTCAGTTAATATGACCGGCCAAAAATTCGATAAATGTTGATTCGTTATGCGACACAAGAGTATTCGTAAACATAAATATATCTATAAAAACCGAAAAAAACGAATGTTGAAAACCAACCGATATTAAAACAAAATTCTCGAAGAGAGATAAATCACATCAATTACCTCGACGTGAACCATCTCGGTTAACCCCAGTTTCAACAATTCCACCAATTTTTCCTGCACCATAGGCAACTGGGATAAATATTGATCCATTTTGCCGCAATATATAATAAAAGATAGGCGTCGTAGATTCAATGCACGATTATATGATTCTTGATCTTTACTTGTGAATAATGTATTTGTAGGCGAGGTCGATATCCGATCTAAGATATAATGGTTCATATTAGTTCACTTTTTTCGGTTACAAAGTTTGCTGAACGTTTCAATTTATTTACTTAGTATTTCTAAGAATCTTTCTTTTTCAGAAATCATAATAATTTTCATTATCCCATGCCACTTTTTGGCATAAGCAGAATTCATGGTGAAGAAGCGGTTGTCGATGAAAACGTCCCAAACTTCTTTGCGCCATCGAGGATAGACGGAAGGAATCTGTGATAACTCGCATAGCATATCTAAGATGATTTGATTTATCGCATTACTGGTTGACAGAATTAATAATTTCAGATATGTAGATGAGTAAGAGAATGTCACGATATGAGAGAATAAACGAGAATAATGAAAAATATAAAGACCCTGTCTGCTTTTTCAATGCCGGTGCAATAATATAATACATGACATTGGATAGTATCTGAATAATACGGTCCGATTCGAACAAGAAGAACCTCCTTAGATTTGGAATCACAGAATTGGCAAGATATAGATTGACCTGTAACGTAAAAAGGAAATAATTAATACCAATTTAATAATTTCAAGTATAGACTCTTATAATAACATAATTCTTTGTATATACCTGCTCGATTGTTAACTCTTCTTTTGATTTTCCTGCTCCCTTTTTCTCATCTGGTAGAGGAGTACTCGAACGAGAAGACTCAGTGTCCTCATTTCCTTTTCAATTAAAATATTTATTAATTGCGCGTTCTCTTAAAAATTAAATTTGTTTTGCATCTTATTCACCATCTGCAGCATTAATTATTGTATCTTCGTCCTCACGTGCTGTCCGTCTTGACCAAAGAAACTGGTCAAAGGAACGTCCTGCAATTTGAACACAATATTCAAGTACACGCTGATAAATATCCTAAATTGTTTTATAAAATAATTAATACATATATGGACATTTCGTTAGGGACAAATATGCCTAAAAAGGTGTCTATTTACCTGCATTTCTCGTTGAGTACGATTTTCTTTAAAGAAATTTGTTGTGGATAATCTTAAAAGTATTACAGTCATGAATCTTCATAATAAATAAAAGAATTAGTTATAGTACGTCGTATTATCGTATTTTATTAATAATCTGCCTATAAAAAATTTCACTTACCTCATTAAAGACGGAAGCAAATATTTATAAATAGTAGCTTGCGCCGAAAAATCTTTGACATAACTTAAACATTGTTGCCATACATCGACAAACGGCTCCTCTATATTCGCACTCAGAGAATCCGTATAAACCTCGAGGAATTTTAATATTAAAACGTCTGATCTTTTTCCACATACAAAAACAATAATAAAAATAAATAAATGCATGCAAGAGTAAAGAGAAGCAAAAAAAAAAAAAAGCTTAGTATTAATATAATAATTACAATTTGTTCTGCTTTGTTAAGGGTTTCCTTGCTCGCGAGGCCAATTGTACAGCATGAGATCGTACACGACTACTTTCGAGCAATACGGTAATAACTTTTTGCGGTGAGCAGCTCGGTATTAATTTGAGCAATTGAATAATGTGGCTTTCGTCGCTTGAATTAAACTATTTCAGGTAATGAGTTAATGTGATTAGAATGAGTAATCTTGCTATAAAAAAATAAATGAATCACACAACCTTATTTTCGGTGGCATTGGGATTCTCTTGACACCAAAGTTCGACAAAAGCTTCAATAAGTTCTCGATGGTTCTTACATAATCGCTCGAGTATCTTTATAATACGCGAATTAACCTTCTCACTCATTTGTAATAAAGATAATTTAAAAGAATGATTAGCATTTGCGCCATCTGTTGTCACATCAGTTTTGTTCTTTGCGGTAGCTTCATTAGAAATTAATTCAGAAAATGGTGCTTTTCTGAACAAGCCCCATATATCCAGAAGAATGCTAACAACATGAGGGAAAACCTGACAAAGAATGAATTCTCGAGGCTAAAAATAATAATAATAATATATTACCAATTAATTTGACCATTGTGTTAATGACATTTTGTAAAATGATCTAATAATCACCTTTTGCTCTGGATCAGAATTTCCATGATCAAAGACGAAAATTGGCGCTGTTCCTCCAGATGCCGTAGGTTCGTTTACACTGACATCGGAATCATCCACCGAACTATTCGATATACTATCCAACAAACAGAATACCAGTGTTTTTTCTAACCCTGAAAATAAAGTATTAACATTCCAATCAGATGCAGTGAATTCATTCATATCAATACTAGCAGTATTTTTATTATCAATGCAGTCAGCTAAAAGAATTTCATGTTGCTTTTGCATTTCAGATTTCCATAGTTGTAATTGTTCACAGATGCATCCCAATAACGGCAGTAATATCGTGTTAAATGATTGACGAAAATACAGAAAAGTGTTTATGATAAAATCCATCCATTGTTGTAGCAAAGGTCGATTAGAAGGTGTTGACAGAGCCTGAAGTAAAACTTTGATAAATAAGGGAGAACTAGTGGTGGCTGTCAAAGCGCGAGAAGATTCTTTTTCATCTTTTAATAATCCTTCGTGGAGAGATTGTTGTGATAATGAAGTAGTACTTTCGGAGAATGCTGGTTCCGATAATAGTGATGTTTTTTTAGTGAAAATACTTGGTGATGGCGACGATGACCTTCCATTAGTAATTTTTGAAGAACCAATAATTATGACTGTCGAAAATAAAAGATGTAAAAGTCTTGCTTGTAGATCCAATCTTTTTGTTCGAATGCTGTAAAGAATCTTTCGTAAACTAACGTCATAAATCATCGACACCAGACTAGAGTCGACTAGCTCAGGTCGAGTAAGAATCAAATTCAGCAAATCAGTTGCATGCATGTGTATATGTTCATTTAGTACACTCATAGATGATAACATTTCAGGCATTTCGGTCTCTATATATCTAAGAGCCAATCTAATAAAAAGCTCGGTATATGTAACATTAGCCAAAGAAGGGACAGATCCCCAAAGCCAACCACAATCAGCCAATATTTCGGTTTTAACGTATGACTCTCGCAATGCTCTTAAGAATCCTTGTCCGCTTACTCGACAGACTGTAACCATAGTTTCAAAAACATAATTAACTTGAGCCTGATTAAATGGACGTTCGTAAAGAAAAAATGCAAACTTTTCTTTATCAATAATTATTTCTGTACTACAAAAGACAATAGACGGATCACAAATTATAGTGATCATGGGATCCAAAAGTTTCGAGTAAGAGTCCTGTTGAGATCTCATCCATATTTCTCCCGCACGACGATTTGTGGGATTTTCATAGCGAAGTGTATCAAGCATAAGAAACATTGGTTGTGAAAATGCCATGCTGACATTAAAAGAATCATCTGATAGTCTCCAGAATATTCCAAATTTCTCATATGATGACAATCGAACAGCAATATCTTTATGCGTTAAATATTCACAGAAAACTGTCTCGACATATTTAGCTGACGAGACTTTCTGAAGATTCCATAAAAGTTGCACACATCGCGTGTGATACAAGACATTGTTAGGATTCAAGAATGACCATAACTTGTTTACGATAATGCGAGTTTGTTGCTTTGGATCCAAAAGTGTCGGTGAAATTACTTTTCGGTCAATAAGATCAATTATGGTAGAAAGTGCTGAGTCGATGATGAGAAAATTATTAACTTTATAGCAGCATTTTAGTAAGGAGTGGATCCACTCCCCGTCAAAGATTTTTTGAATTAACGAATTTCGAATTTCGATAAAGTTTCGTGAAGATTGTTCTAAGGAAATTGTAAAATGCTTGGAAATTTTTCGTAAAAGCCCACAACTTCTGTCCAATATTAAAGTCATATTATCCAAAGTAAAATTATCGCGTTGTTGATCTTCTCCAACCACACACCGAGAAATCAAACAATTGATCAAATCCAAAAGCGGTTTCAATAATGCTTCCACGAGCGCAAATCCCTGAATACCCTTGAAATTTTCATTTTCTTCATTATAGTAATCATCAATGTACTTTACAGGATCAATCCCAGCAATAAATTCCAATCCAGATTCATCATCCAGAGTTTCGCTTTTCTTGGATTCTTCTGAGAAATTTAAAACAATTTCAGGCTGATTGAATGCAGCTTGAGGAATTTCCTTTATTAGATTCTGCGCCAATAGCAGTGCACTCTCTATTTGAGAAAAATGTTGTATGAATTCCGGACTTTTTGCAAGCACCTGTTAATGGAAAAGTTTGCTATATTATAAAGATGTTGATCAATATCGGAAAGTTGTTACAATGAGGAAAACATATATTTTGGAATTGCATACTTGCAGTTTGTATAATAAAATTGTCAGAAACAAAGGTAAATGTATTTGTTGAATTTCTTCCTCGTGTAATTTAATTTCTTGCACGACAAAATAAACCAAGTCTAAAGCCTATATTGTGAATAAATAAATCTCATATTAATATTGATATTAAAAGGCAGACACATTGCAAGCAAGACCGAAATCAAATAGTAAAGAAAAACCTTTGTCACTTGTGAATCAGAACTAGGGAATTGCTCTTGCACAAGATTGTACAGTTTCATCCATAGCACATATTGCGGAATCATTTGCAGAAACATTTGTGCAGTTTGTAGTAACTATTACAAGAACCATTATTAATTAGATAATTGTAACGAAAATACAAAATAATTAAGGAAAGATGCACTCACTTCTTTAGAAAAAACAGATTTTTGCATATGATCTTTTAACGATATCAGAATATCCACGAGGATCTCTTGCACTACAGGATTTCCGATTTGCCATTTATCCATCAATGAAATTAATATTTTATATGGACGCTGAATACTTGTCAAGTCCCTTGCGTTGGTAAAGAACATGTCCTTGAGTGCTGTAACAAGTCCAGCTTTTCCATATTCTTGAAAGTGTTGAATTTGATGCTCTGAACTTTCATCAGGACCTAGTAACCATGCGTACAACCAGCGACTCAACGACATATCTTTTCTTAGAACCACAGAGACTGCGGATTTCATCAATAAAATTAGGTCGTCTTGTTTCATAATTCTTTACATACGTTATAAAGTAAATAATTATTATTATTATTATTAAACAAGAAAAACCAAGTTAGAGATTTCTACTTTTAAAATAATGAAAACTTACTCTCCCACGTTTTTGTCTTTTAATGGAAAGCTAGCAACTAACAAAATAAGGAGGTTTCGCTGTACCAAAGCCTCTTTGTCTCCTAAAGTAGCGCAAAAAGCTCGTATCATGAGACTGGGATCATCTCCCAGCACAAAAGCCACATCTATATTTCCAAGCAAATTTTAATTTTTCATCTCTATAATGTACCGTAAATAACTCGAAACAAAGAATCTTCAACTATATAATATATAGTAACTGAAAAACACACCTTCTTTAGAAGTAATTTTCGGCATTCGTCGCTTCAAATAATTTAAAGCTGGCGTACGCAAAGAAGGTGAAGTGATTAAGACAAGCCACATGCATTGTAGAAAATAAGACTGTTCCACGATTCCCGAAAGATTATCGAGAAGCGATAGAACCTAAACTCACAAAAAACATTTAATAATCGATCGCCTTTTTTTGTAGTTATTGTTACACGAGCAAAGTTCTCTATAACGATATATAGCGAATATTTGGTATAGCAAAGAAATTTCATGGTACAAATATCTAAAATCAGCCTGCTGATATCCGAATATTTTTATATACCGAAAGCCCGAGAACTTTGACTGTATGCACAATAATTCTCTCGATTAATTTAATTTACCTTATCGTAAAACTCACTGCCTTCTTCATCCAGACCAGGTAACAAGGCTGTAATAAAAGCTTTCATAACAGGGCGTAGCCGCTTTCGTAATGGAAAATAATATTTTTCGTATATTTCCAGTAGTTGAGGCTGAGAAAAATAAAATAATAATCTATCAATTTATGAACTTCTCGCATAATGCATACACAGTGAAACTCGACATAACGAATGGCAATTAGAGAAAAGATTCAAAAATCTGTTATATCGAGTCTTTACTAGTAAAATTATTATATCGAGCAGTGCTTATATAGACTGTTATTATATCGAATATCCGTTATATTGAGATTCACTATGTAATCAATTACTTAAAAAATACGCGAGAGACTGATGAACAAAATTTACCTTGACAGGCAACTTAGCATACCGAAGTAATGGAAATAAGCCTTGTGAATATATTGATAGATCTTCGGCAAATATGTCTGGCTATTGGTATATGCATGGCTTTGATCAATATATTAAGAAGTCAACATAATAAAGAAATAATAATACTCTTTTTATTTGATCAAAAATACAATGTTTCTTGCAGATACAACTCACCCTCGATATTAGAAGCTATTGGGTCGAACAAAAAAAATTTTCTTATATCGAGAGTGAGTAGCACCTCGATGATCCTTTATAAAATATAACGTAGATACTTCGAAGAACTTACACCTATACTCTGAAATATACAATCATACACTTCTAAGGCTTTTTGGTGGACACCATGCGGTAGTGCACGATTCAGAGACTGTGCGAGACGTTTTCCAACAATAAGCTTAAATGGTATTTCGTTAAATTGCTTAGCGTTTGCTTGGAAAGCCTAACAAAAATAACCAAATAATGTTAAGAGGTGGCTAACACCAAAATAACAGCAAATTCACAAACCTTTAACAGCTTTCCCAAAAATGTAATAAAATCAGCCCATTCGTTCACTTCCTTATCAAATAAGAACAAAATTTTCTCGACGCTAGAAACATATTTTTTGTAGCGTGGATCTTTGCGAAGATTTTGGTCCATTTAGCACACGAAAAATTCCACGGAACCGAAATTCCAATATGATGATGTAAAGCTTTAAGGGCGCAGTCTTTTCTATTGATTGTGTAACTAAAGATTGTTATTTAAACAACCATTCTGATGGCATCTCGAACCTTTTTTAAATTTTTACGAAAGACCATTTCCACTAAATCTATCCTTCATAAAACTTTACCAAGTGTATTCACTTCTATTAATATTTATCCTACATTTACTTTAGCAATTGTTATCTGGTAATTGCAAAATGGATAACACAAATAACCAAAAAATCGAAGGAAATAATTACATGAGGGGAAATCAAATAAACGGAGAACTAAGAAAAAAAGTTCTCAACATTCTTCGCGCTACCTTAACCAAATCGAATCCGATTGCAGAGCAATGTTTTACTCGTGCAAAGTCTATTGAAGACGATTTATATAAGACAGCCAATAATGAGACGGAGTATCGGAATTTATTGTCTCGTAAATTAGCTGAGTTGGATCCTCATAATTATCGAAATATGGCTCAGCAACAAATAGCTGAACAACGAAGATCTCAAGGGCAACAACAGCTGCTGCTGCCGCAACAACAAAATCCGAGTCAAATAATGTTGCAGCAACAATTGACTCAAAGACAACAAATGCAAACTGAACGAATTGCTGCTCAACAACAGCAGCAACAAATACAACAGATATTCCAAAATTTACAGCAATTTAATCCGCCGCCGCAGCCGTTAACCATCCAACAATTAAATCAACAGCAGCAGCAGCAACAAATATTACAAAGACAACGATTTCCCCAACGACCTACTCAAGTATCACCGATTCTACAACAATCAAGACTACAGCAACACCAATCACCCATAGCTGAAGCTATACCTCAACAACAGCAAACATCTGCACAATTCTTGGCTCAATTACCACAGAATATCGGACAATTATCACATAATATCTTACAACAGCAGCAACAACAACAACAACAACAAGCTGTTATTGCAGCAAATATTCACACTAATAATAGTAATACTACTACCACTAATAATATTTATAATAATGTTAATACCACGATTAATAATACTTCTAATATTAATGATTTTGCTCTTTTACAGCAATCTCTTCAATTAACTCGACAGCAGCATCAGCAATATAATCAACCACAACTAGCACAATTAACTCCACAGCAATTTCAAATGCTACAAAATCAATATCAATTGCAATTGGCTCTTCAACTGGAATATCAACAACAAGTGGCTGCTCAACTGCAGCAGCAAGCTCCATTAACCTCTTTTATGACTGCCTCGCCACAAATGTCTCCTCATCAACAACATCCACAACCAATTTGTTCGTTAAAAAACCAACAACAATACATGAATCCTCCATTAAATTTTTTACCGCAAGTAAATACCAGTTCAGTAAATCTTGGTGGAATTCATAATGTAGCAGCAACATCTACGTCAAATCTAATTAACATTAATCAAGCTCCTTTCCAGATTAACCCATTACAACCTAATGCGTATACAACGAGACCTGCTGTCATAAATCCTTTGCTGAGATCTTCTATAGAACAACTGCAAGGAGGCTATCAATTACCAACGATGGCAATCACATCATCTACCACCGAAGGTCTCTTTAATGTCAATCAATTGTCACCCACTTCATTAACTCCTAACGTTTTTTCACCGATTAATATGCCGTTCACAAACTCGTTCACAAATATATCATCAGTCCCTGCGGCTACTCCACCTTACATCAATAATATTCAACAACCAACACCGCCGCCTCGTTCTAATATGTCTGCATCTTCAAATGGTCAATTAAAAGTTCTTTCCGGGTTAGAACTGAGCGAAGCCACTTCAGCCATACGCAAAATTGACCAGGAACGCAAAAAACTTACATCTTACCCCGAGCCAATGGGACTCAGTGACCAAGACAAAAGAGCCATATCGGAAACAATTAAATCACTTGTACCAATGTCCAAAAAGCTTGACGAGTATCTTCCGTACTTATGGCATATTTATAAGTCGAAAAATAGTATTACTCGCATTTTGAACTTGAAACAAATGGTTCAAGATTCACAGCAAGCACTTTCCATAGGGAAGTTCTATATGGATTTGGCATCTGTAGAAAAATTATATATTGAATTTAAAACGATCCTTGAAGCGTCGGAAAAAAGCCGAAGAGGGGAGATAATAAGTAATCCATTTCCGACCCCACTTCCTGCGCCAAGGCATGCTAATAAAATATCAACCGCAATCACTAATATTCCTAATCTAAATGTCACAAATCAAAAGCTTGTAACTGACGTAATGACTAATCAAAATACTGGGATGAATACAAATCAGATGGGAAATGCACCAAATAAGAATTTACAAACTACCACCAATACTAGAGGACGCGGAAACGCTTATGAAAAAGTGGCGTCTGTTGTACCCGTGCTACAATCAATGCATGATGCTGAATCGCTAGGTGTAGATATAACAGGTGGGAATAATCCAAAGAGACGACGTTTAGATGTCGAAAAATTAGTGCAACCTATTCAAGAGAACTTGAATGCCATTACTACCCATGTAACACCCCTTGACATTACTCACAGTCCAGTCCCAGTCGGCTTTACTGCGCAAGCCATGAGTACATCAATTTTTAGTCAAGCAATGGCCTCGCTTCCAGTTGACGATAACGGTGATTACACTGACGTTGAGGATGAAAAATATCCTCCAATTGAATCTCTCTTTGATCGTCAGGTTACTCGGGAAAAGCAACGTCAATCGTTTCAACGATTGCAAGAGGCTTTGTTGAATTCTGAGACTGAGAAAGACGTCACTAAAACGAAGAGTGATAATGAAATTTCTATTGATCCAAAAAGTCTAACAATAAATCCTGCACGCTGTCTATTAGATGGTCCAGACCCGATTCCAGAATCAGCAGAAAATAAATTGCTGGTATCCAGTCTTCGTGGTGCTTGTTAAAGGTGGTTGTGTGATTAGGGCACTGACATATATTAGCTAATATTATTTTGATGGAGGTGCCTTCCCCCACCCCAGATAAGATCTTCTAGCCAATCAAAGATGCTTAATTTTGTGCTACTTAATTAAGATCAAGCTCACCCACCACCCCCTAAAATATTAGCTAATAAATGTCATTGTCCTTATTATTAATTATTGATATATTATATATAGGTTGTGGTTGCGCAAGTTAAAAATATTGGACACTTCCATGTAAATAATAAATCAATCAAATATACATTTAGGCATATTCACAATACATGATTATTTCATTTACGAGAATACATCCATGAAATTATTACCCATATGATTTGAGATATTTATTATAAAATTAAATTATTTCTGTCACAACAAACAGAAAAATAAACATATAAATTAACTCAAGTTAAACATTATATAATGATATACTACTACGATTGTTCAACATGTCTAAAATTCCGATGAATCTTTGGTTCTACTTTTGTAATTGCAGTCAAAAGTCGTTCTGTCACTAGCAAATGATTTTTCTGTACAGCTGCCTGAACTTCTTGTAATTTTTGTTCTGTTTCTGTTGTCACCCTTGCAAATGATTGATCTGACGAGCCAGTATGCTAACAAATATTATAACTATGAGTAAATAATATCCGAATGTTATTATAATCTAAAAGATATTATCGCCAAACATACCATTGCTTCAAATTCCTGAAATTCTGCATTTTTTTGTGTTTTTAAAGCTTCAATCTCTTTCGCTGCTTCTGTTCTAGCATCTTTTAATCTTTGAACGCGATCTATAATATTTAACGCATTTGATTAAATGAAATTTAGTTTAATTAAAATGGATAAAAACTAGTGAAGCTATCAAAAAATAGAGGCCTATTCATACACACATTGTCTTGCACGTTGAACTGTCTTTGCGGCTTCTTTTTCTGCTTCAAGTAAAGTTGTAATTCCTTGGGAATTTTGTGCAGCCTATGATAAAATAAAAAGTTAATTTGCTAATTCGGGCTTGAAAGTGTCATATACAAAATTACCATTTGTTAGTTAAGATAGATGAAACTAGATCAACGAAATCTAAGATTCTAAGATTGTTGATTTAAATACAAGAATGATAATGTAACGATTTTCGGTTTCATAAAACATGATTTTTAAATATTTTTTTCGTAGCTTTTATATCCGTTCTGGTCTTTTCTCTAATGCTAGCAGAAAAATATCAACGTTGTTACCTTCTCAAACTTCAAATACTATTTTTGCATTGTCTTCTGCACAAGGAAAAGCAGGTGTTGCAATAATACGAGTTTCAGGACCGAAAGCTTCCGAAGTAAGTTCACTACTTTACAGCTTGTAGTTTTCCATGTACATTCCTGTGCCGCTTTTTATTTCTATTAATTTGCCATATAGGCTGTCAATCGATTTTCATTAAAAAATGCAAAATTTCCCAAACCACGCGTAGCGACACCGCGCTCGATATTGCACCCAATAACGCGTGAAGTATTAGATTATGGACTGGTTTTATGGTTTCCAGGTGTTTTTTCATAATCGATCTAAAAAAAAATTTAATTCATGAATTCATTAAAGATGTTTATAAAAAAGTATTATTTTCATCGAAAATATTTTATTGAGGTCCAAATAGTTATACAGGGGAAGATGTTGTTGAATTTCATATACATGGTGGAAACGCAGTAATTCGAGGCATATTAGATGCGCTTTCTAGTCTAAAAGAGTTTAGGCACGCAGAACGAGGTGAATTCACCCGAAGGTATACCGCAATCAGGAAAACGATTGTTTAATAATGTTATCGTAAAGAAGAAATTTAATCATTGAATTATATAATCCATTCTATTTAGAGCTTTTGATAATGATAAACTTGATTTGACAGAGATTGAAGGTATTGCTGATCTAATAAATGCTGAAACTGAGATGCAACGAAGACAAGCGTTACGTCAAGCGCAGGTAACACAAATATTTGTATTATTTCGCGAACTGGGAATTTTGTCTTTATGTAATTGAAATGCATCTCATTATAAGAAAATATGAAGGGGAGACTTCGTAATTTATATGAAACTTGGAGACAACAATTGATTGAGAACATGGCTCTTGTTGAGGCTGTGATCGATTTTGGAGAAGAGGAAAATATTGAGGATGGAGTTTTAGATCGAGGTAAATTATTTATCTCTAATATTTCAATCACACGTTCACAAGCTAAACTTATATTTGATGTCGAAAAGTTAGACGTAATATTCATAATCTGGTGAAAATTATGTCAGATCACATTAATGATAATCGTCGTGGTGAGATATTACGCGATGGAATTCACGTGACCATCATGGGACCTCCAAATGCTGGGAAAAGTAGTTTTTTGAATTATTTAGGTAACATATAGTTTTATTGTAAGATAGTGATATTTCTGAATATATTTGCTTTTTTAACTTTTTTGTTATTAGCACAGCGACAAGCTGCTATTGTATCACCAATTCCAGGAACAACTCGTGATATAGTAGATGTTTTTTTAAATATCGGGGGATATCCAATTGTTATTGGTGATACTGCAGGATTAAGAAAATCGGACGATGTAATTGAGATTGAAGGCATTAAAAGGGCTAAAGATAGGTATGATAAATTGAATTTATATTCACGTCATGGTTTGAAAAGAATAAAAAATTCTATATTCTATTATTATTAGAATAATGACTGCCGATATCAAAATATGTATTCTCTCATTACCTGAGATTTTGAACAATAACGAAAAAGAAAATTTTAACATGTCTTTTAAAGCATTTGATGAACCCATTATTAAAAATTCAATAGACAAGGATACACTATTAATTCTGAATAAAAAAGATTTAGTCAATAACGAGAACCACCATGAGATGATTATGATTCCACAATTAGAGCAAAATATTCGTGAGTTATTTGGCACGAATCCTGCCTGGGAAGTATCTTGTGTTACAGGCGAAGGCATGCAAGAATTTTTGACGGGATTTTTAGATTTGATTAAAGACAAGTATGCCAATCAATATACTGTAATATACTAACTATAAATATTTAGACTTATCACTTGCTATTGATAGATTTGATTCAACGTTTACGCAAACCGCCTTAATTACACAGTCTCGGCATCGACAACTTGTCTCGGAGTGTATTCATTATTTGGAAAATTTTTCAAGTTTGTATCGTAATGTTTATCATTTTTTATTATTTCAATGATTTATATTTATTATATTCTTTTTAGATGCTGATGATGTTGTACTGGCGGCTGAAGAATTACGATACGCAGTAAATTGCGTCGGAAAAATTACTGGAAGAGTGGATGTTGAAGAAATTTTGGGTGTCATTTTTTCGCAATTTTGTATTGGGAAATAATATTTTTTCGACCCACATTATGTTAATTATGGCCACATTACCAGCATTACCTAATTCTGAACAGAAATTACAAATTTGATAAATCGGCTAAGCTTTAAACCAATGCCAGACCGTTCAGATTTTACCTATTATGGGAATAATAATGTTAGCAGTGCATTGATTTTATTTAATAATAAAGGTATATAACCAATTCCTCCTCAGAATCAGTAGACCTTTATTAGCACAAACATAGGCACCTGGATTAAGAACACCTGGAGTGGGTACCAGTATCAAACACCAGTAATTCTCCCGAGTCAAAACGCGCTCGACTGGGAGCTGCCCTTCCATTTGCAAAATAAAAAAAACGCACCTTCTCCTTCAAAGCCACGAAAGTCTTTCGATCCAACAGCACCTCTGCTTCCCTCAAAAAGTGATCGGCCCAATTATTGTCAAGATCATGCCAGTCATCTGAAACTGATGAAGCAACAATGACATTGTGGTGGAGGACCAAGAACCCACGGTATGACTGATTTTCTCATTCATTTAAGTAGGAAGTAAGAACTAGAAAGTCAAAATATATTAGAAACTGAAGAGAATTTTGCCTCTTAGTGAGAGCACAAGTGGAAGAAGATTGCAAAGTCGAACAAGACTTACCGTCATAGCCAAAGTATTTAGATGTGCTCATGGTTGATTAGCTTGCGAGAATATTGTTACTTCACAACGCGTATAGGGAACCTTAAACACAAAAAGCAGTATGACTGACATATCGACACTACAAATGACTTTTTCAGACTGACACGTCGACACGAAAAATAGCATATGAACATAAGAGTACACGCGTAGATTGAGAATATATATACAGTGCTAAAAAATCTTTGCATGATCAACTGATTTTCCGATGCACACACATGATTTATTTTTCGTGATATACAGTGTGAACACCAAAAGCCATCAAGTTCTGCGCCCTAGCGCCAAATTCCAAATTGTAGATCTTATGACGTAATAACTGATCTGACCAATCAGAACTCCTGAGATCTATAACGTAATCATTACAATAGATTTTTCAAAGTTAACTAGAATTATATCACGACAAAAAAGTGTCGATCACGTAATTTTTCGACCAATATTCAACACTCGGTTATATCACGTTATTATGATTGATATTGATGTAATGACACACTTTGCAAATCTTTAATTAGCAAATCAAATTTTATCTTTACAACTTGACAAGAAAATAATAGCTTTACTACAATAAAAATCATGTTAAATGACAAATTAGCAAAACTTTATTGTTTATTATTTTATAATATTGTCACCATTTTCAGAGTTATTTCCTATGATGATATTTCTGAAATATGGTGAGTGACTGTGTTCAATTGAAAGGTCAGATTACTGAACTATCAAAACTTATAATTTAAATATCAAATATTAAAATAATGGGGTTGGACATAACTTTTAACAAGAAACTTAACGAAATAAATACGATAACTATCAAAGCTTTCCCGAAGTACC